GGAGAGGGAAAAGCAGGCTTCCCGCGGAGCAGGGAGCCCAATGCGGGGCTCGATCCCAGGACCCTGGGACCGTGACCTGAGCCGAAGGCAGACGCTTAACGACTGAGCCACCCAGGTGCCCCTCTGTACATGTTTTAGATGCATTTCCTACAAAATTATTTATTTGGCTTTTGCTTTGTGTTAGGTAGCATCATGATTTTGACCTTTTGAGTATGTGGGTCTGTTTATTTTTAATATAATTACTAATTTTATTTAGGTTTAAATCTATTACCATGTGTTTTTTCTTTACATTGTTTTATGTTCCTTTTGGTCTACTTTCATGTCTTTTGGGTTAATGTTTAAAATTCTGTATTTCTCCTCTGTTAGCTTACTATTTGTACATTGTCTTACTATTTATTTTAGTAGTCCCTGTAAAGATTACAACATGGATCATTAAATTAAAGTTTAGTATTAGCTGGTACTTTTACTTCTTCCTAGACAATGAGAGAACTTTAGAAGACTTGAACTCCATTTATCCCTTCTTTATATGTCATTTTTGTGGCTCTACATTTTTTTTTTTTAATGTCTTACCTTCTCTCTGGCATTTTCCCTCAGCCTTAAGAATAATTTTAGTCTTTCCTCCAATGTGGATCTGCTATTGACAAATTCTCTTCACTTTCAGTTGGTTGAAATTATCTTTATTTCTTCTTTATTCTTGAAGAGGATTTCATTGAGTATAGAATTTTAAGTTGGTAGTTATTTTCTTTCACTGTTTAAAATTTATTCCATTGTCTTCTGCCATCCATTGTTTCTTTTGAGAAATAATCTTTCAGTAATTCCTTTAAGATTTTCCTCTTTGCGGGGCACCTGGGTGGCTCAGTTGGTTAAGTATCTGCCTTCAGCTCAGGTCATGATCCCAGGGTCTTGGGATTGAGCCCCACATCGGGATCTCTGTTCAGCGGGGAGCCTGCTTCTCCCTCTGCCTTTGCCTGCTGCTCCCCCTGCTTGTGCTCTTTCTCTGTCAAATAAATAAATAAAATCTTAAAAAAAAAGAAAGATTTTTCTCTTTGTCTTTGGTTTTCACCAGTTTACCATGAAGTACCTAGGTGTAGATTTTGAGGTGTGTGTGTGTGTGTGTGTACACACGTGCATGCACGCACATACTCATACATGCTGGGCTTCTTGAATCTGGTTTAATGCCTCTTTATCAGTTGTGGACATTTTTTAGCCATTATTTTTCTAGTAATTGCTTTTATTCCACTCTTTCCTTTTGTAACTGTACTTACAGGTAGTTAGACCTATTCCCTGTATGTGCTATGATTCTTACCCTCCCATCTCTGTTTTTTATATTTTGTCTTTCTGTGCTTTATTTTGGGTATATGATTCTGACCTATCTTTCTGTTCACTACTTTTTTTCAGCTGTGTCTAACCTATTAACCTTAGATTGAATACTTAGTTTCACTTTAGTACTTTTTATTTTCCAGATCTCCATATGATCCTTTCATTATAGCTTCCAATTTTTGCTGAAAATTTATAATCTTGTTTTTTTCAGTTCCTTGAAAATGGTAAGCAGAGTTGCTTTAAAGTTACTGTAACCCCAGTATCTGAATCTTTCTTGCATCTCTATTGCCTGTTATTTTTGCTGGTTTTCATTTATTTCTTGCCAGATATACTTGGATTTTGGTTTGTTATAATTTTGTTACAGATGGTATTTCCTAAATTGTTTATAGAAATAATTGGAGGTCTAGGACAATAGTATCTTCCTATACAGACGACCTATATTTATTTGTGCCAGGTTTCTGCATTCGCTAGTGATCCAGAATTACCTCAGTCCAATTTAAGGTTTGAGAATATTCAAAGCTGAGCTGCAGTCCCTTCAAAAACTATCCCCCCCACTTTTTTTGAGCGGTGGGGGAGGGGCAGAGGGAGAGGGAAAATCTTAAGCAGGGGCTTAAGCCCCTTAAGCCCTGATGCGGGGCTCAGTCTCACAACCTTGAGATCACAACCTAAGTGGAAATCAAGAGTCGGATGCTTAACCAGCTGAACCTTCAGGTGCCCCAAAGGCTGTTTACTTATAACTCAGCCTTATTCTTGTGTTTTAGCCCTTTGCGTTTCCAATTCAAGTAGGGTTCTACAGGGCAACTCTGAGTAGGCTCTGGACTTCAGTCTGTATCTTCCTAGACCTGTGAGGTTGTCAAGAGAACTGCTGTCCGTCACTTGCCCTCAAGATTTGGCAGATGACTTGAGAGGAAAAGTGTTCTCAAATGCTGGCCTCATTTCTCTAGACTTCCATCTTCCCCCAATATATGGCCTGGAAAATTTTTGCTATCTTGTTATCCCTCTGTGCCTTAAAGCTTCTGTCTTTAATATTTTGTCCAGATTTTTCTAATAGTCTTTACTGGAAGGATTGGTTTGTGTTATCTCATTTGCCATTACCAAAAGCAGAAAGTCTCTGTTCTTGGTTAAATTTTTAAAACTCTTTGGGGCACCTGAGTGGCTCATTTGGTTAAGCGTCCAACTGTTGGTTTTGGCTCAGGGTCGTGAGATTGGGCCCCGTGTTGGGCTCCATGCTCAGCAGGTAGTCTGTTTGGGGGTTCTCTCCCTTTGCCCCTCCCCCCTGATGGCTCTCTCTCTAAAATAAATAAATAAATCTTAAAAAAAAAAAATTAAAACTCTTGGGTGCCTGGGTGGCTCAGTTGGTTAAGTGACTGCCTTCAGCTCGGGTCATGATCCCAGGGTCCTGCAATCTAGTCCCACATCAGGCTCCCTGCTCAGCAGGGAGCCTGCTTCTTTCTCTCCCTCTGCCTGCCGCTCCCCCTGCTTGTGCTCGCTCTCTCTGTCAAATAAATAAATAAAATCTTAAAAAAAAATTTAAAACTTTTTATTATAGAGAATTTTGAACATACGCAAAAATAGGCTAATATAATGAACCCCCATGTACCCATTACATACTTAAAATAATCATTAACCCTTGGCCATTTCTGCTCTATCTATATTCCTGTTCACTTTCCTTCATCCTATGTTGTTTTGAGGCAAATTACGGATGTCACATCAGTTCATCATTTTAGTACATAGCCCTAAAAGATAAGGAATGATTTTTAAAAAACATAACCACAAAATTATTGTAACATCTAAATAATAATAATTTTATTTATTATTTATTCCATTTTCAATTTTATTTATTTTTATTTTTTATCTTATTTAAATTCATTTAATTAACATAGTATATCATTAGTTTTTGGTATAGAATTTATTTTTTAAATTTTATTTTATATCCAGTATAGTTAATATACAGTGTTATAATAGTTTCAGGTGTATAATATAGTGATTCAACAATTCTGTACATTACTCAGTGCTCATCATGATAAGAAATTTTTTATCCCCATTACCTATTTCATCCATTCCCCCACCTTTGTCCCCTCCAGTAACCAACAGTTTGTTCTCTAAATAGTTAAGAGTCTGTTTTTTGGTTTCTTTTTTTTTTTTTTAATTTTTTTTTTTTTTTTAAAGATTGTATTTATTTATTTGACAGAGACATAGCGAGAGAAGGAACACAAGCAGGGGGAGTAGGAGAGGGAGAAGCAGGCTTCCCCGCAGAGCAGGGAGCCTGATGTGAGGCTCGATCCCAGGACCCTGGGATCACGACCTGAGCCGAAGGCAGACGCTTAACGACTGAGCCACCCAGGCGCCCCGGTTTCTTTTTTTGCTTTGTTCATTTGTTTTGTTTCTTAAATTCCACACTTGAGTGAAATCATACGGTATTTTTCTTCCTCTGACTTATTTCACTTAGCGTTATACTCTCTAGGCCCATCCATGTTGTTGCAAATGGCAAGATTTCATTCTTATCTATGGCTGAGTAATATTCACTTGTATATATATATACCACAATTTCTTTATCTGTTCATCTATTGATGGACTCTGGGCTGCTTCCGTATTTTGGCTATTGTGAATAATGTTGCTATAAACATAGGGATGCATATATCTTTTCAAATTAGAATTTTCATATTCTTTGGGTAAATAGTAGAATTACTGGACCATATGGTAGTTCTGTTTTTAATTTTTTAAGGAATCTCCATACTCTTTTCCACAGTGTCTGCACCAGTTTGCATTCCCACCAATAGTGCATGAGGGCTCCCTTTTCACTACATTCTCACCAGCATTTGTTGTTTCTTGTGTTTTTGATTTTAGCCATTCTGACAGGTGTGAGGTGATAACTCATTGTGGTTTTAACAATAATTTCTTAATATGAAGAAATCCAGTCAGTGTTGAAATTGCTTTGTTAATTTCTAGCGTAATTATATTTACCGATGAGCCCCCAAAGTTAGTTTGTCCCGATATCTCTGATTCAGTTGTGAAGGCACTTTTTCACTTGGTCAGTAACCACCCACAAAAACTTACTTTCATGTCTTTAAGCTCCTCTTCACCTATATGAAGACTGTCCATTCTTCAGTGACTAAATTCAAGTCTCCTTCCTCCATGGAGCCTGCCCTGGCCACTCCTCTGATTGCCTTAGCATTTATTATCTCTTCTATTCCTGTGGCATTTGGCCATAATTTATGTTGTATAGTATAACTTCTTATGATTGTAAACTGCGTTTAGGGTAGGGACATGTGTGCTGTATGTTTTGCATGCCAGATTGTGGGGCACATAGCATCTGTTTACCTCAGCAGTTTTGTGAGGGCCAAATGAGGTAATCTAAGAACTTTTCTTATACCCTATATAGCTAAATTGTAAGGAATTACCATTGTTTTTGTTGTTGTTAGCATAACCACTAAATGAATTCTGGACTACATTCTCTGTGAGGGCAGAGACCTGTGTTTCCAGAGCCTATCATAATGCCTGACAGTAGGCTTCCCATACAGATATGTTGATTTAATTTATTACCTTAAGGAATTTAGTCAAGTTCTCTCATTCTTGTCTATCAAATGATATAAAATAGGATAAAGTTAATGACCTACAGGAAGAAGTTAAACTTTACCAAAAATTTTATTTTCTTTTTTCCTCCCTCACAAATCTGATAGGTTTATCTCAACATGTAGTTACCAACTATAAGCAAGTAATTCAACTCTTGGAGGAGGGAATAGCAAACAGGTAACAGGTTTATTTGTTGCTGTCCTTTCAGTCTCATTCATCTTTCCTGTGTGCTCATTCCCCTTTGGAGTATATAATTGTACTTCTCTCTGCAGCTTCCCCACATTCACAATCAGGAGGCCTTTTTCAGAACAGTAATGTACCCAGGGTAAGGGGCAGTGGCTGAGATTTTGTGCATTTCTCAGTAGTGAAGCTGGAGTTTGTTCTGCATATAATAATATCAGGCAGTAAGCCCAGAGTTACTCTGTGCTTTGTCTCATAATAGATAACTTTTTGACCGAAGAAAAGATTCTTGCCTGTGTTGTCCTCTCTGTAGGCTTGATAGAAATAAGATCCAGTATAGTTTAAAGTGTTTCAGAAAACAGTTTTTCTTCTAGTTTTGCATACTTGTAAAGGCTACCCAAAAAAGACTGTTTTGAATCTGCTATGAATAAGCACTGTAGACTTTCCTATAAGTTATTGTAAATTGTGATAATATTCCATGTTGCTAGTTACTAGGAAATGCCCAAACTGTTTTAGTAGATGCCTGAAAGAATAGCCTTTTTTACCTTGAAAAAATGTTGGGATATAGTCTTCTTTTTACCTTATTAGTAGCAAGTCCAAGTTAATTGACCATAAAGGAAGAACTTTAAATTTAACATTCTACTCCTTGGGTTTCATGGAACTATCCTGGAGGGACTTGCCTCTGATCTTCAGATACCGTGGTTCCTTGATCTTTAAGTGTCAGGCTTCACCTTTTCTATCCTTGAGTCATGAGATCTGCCTTTGGAGTCTGACTCTTCTTCAATTCTCCAGCTCCTCTGAGAACAGAAGTTAATGACATGATCTTAAACTGAATAATGATTGACTTAGATTTAGATGAAGGGAAGGCTCTTCTTACTTTAAGAATTAATATTGCAATGAATTTCTAAAGAAGGTTATGAATTTCACCTGGCTTAAGTATGACATTGACACAATTCAAGATCTCATTTCAAATCCCTTTCTGACACTGTAAGATTAATATTTAGTGTTTAATCACATTTTACTTTCTCTGTTTTTGATGCTTCTCCAGCAAGCTCTCTACCTCCATTTGTCCTACTTAAATGGGTCTGTTTTAGGGGTATTCTTCCAGGTTGATAACACTTTAGTATTCCCCTTTTCAACTCTGATTTTTGCTTCTGTTGCTTAAAAAATGTTCTAATGTGGTTTAATATAAAGCTACACTGCCTTTTATTCTCAGGTATCAGTACCTAGAATGCTGCTTCTGCCATCTTTGGACCACTCTCCTAACTAAACTGGACTAAATATGGATGTTCTATGATTTTCACCTTTGAACCTTGGCACTAACATTTCTGTGTTCCCCATGGATTCTTAAGGATCCACCATGCATGAACAATACTTATCCTAATTGTTTTCCTTTATGTACACAGAATCACAGCAGCTACTCATGTTCATGAGGCCAGCAGCAGATCCCATGTCATCTTCACTATCTACTATACACAGGTTGGTTACCCCTTTATTTGCTTAGATTTCTTCCTTTCCTAGTCCCTTTTGACTGCTTTCTTGTGTTCTTATTTCTTTTCCTTTCTTCCTACCTTTCCATTTATAGGTCCTCTACTATGACCTAATGTTATAAGGAGGACCTACGTACAATCTACTAAGCTCTACACCAGAAAGGGTAGAGGCAGTTTCATAAAGACTAATCAAAATATCTTCAACTTATATTTTACTTTTAACATTTCAAAGTACTTTTATATCTATGTGATCAGTATGAGCATTAAAACAAGAAGTAAGATTGAAATGAAAATAAGCATTAAAATGAAAAAGATTTATTTCTGTTATGAAGATTTACTCCTATTAAAAAGTAGATTTACTTCAATTAGGAGTGAGTAGGTCAGCAAATCCTATCCCCCCAAAACAACTATAAACCTGGACAAAACTGTCAAAAGAACCATTTCTCTGCTCTAAAAATAGACCAGAGTCATATAATAAACCAAGACATTTATTCAAGAAAACTACTGAATTACAGATAAAAATAGTGCAGATCTGTGGTATATTGCCTTGGGCTGTTCCCATCCCTACCTGTCTCTGTAAGTGAGGTGGTTCATCAGGGAATGGAAGGCAGTCAAAACCAGCTACTTTGTTGCTACCACTGCTAGAAGAGTTCACTTGATTTGGGCCATTGTCAGAATGGTGCTCTTGGTGACAAACTAACAAGGAGATCCATCAGCCTGAGATTATGGGTCTGTTTCAGGCAAGAAATGAACTGGCAGATTGGGGATTTAATAGGGAGTTCTGGAAAATGATGCAGCCATAGTGGGCTTAATAAGGTCTTCACATATCCTGTATTGAGCAGAACTTAAACCTAAAACTGAACTTTTAATGCATTCCCCAGCCTACACATTGATCCATCAACAAAGAATAGAGATCTTATTGGCTCTAAGTGTTTGATTATGACTTCTGACCAGTCTTTTGCTGAACACTCACCTATACAGACAGAGGGTAGCCCCCAAAAGGCCAAGCTTAGAATTAAAAACAACTGAAGGAAAAAATTGAATGGAGACCTCTTTGGCTGCATATTGCTGGGGAGGCAGATTTTGAGATTTTTAGCCCAGGCAAGTTACCAGAGAAACTAAACAATAACCACTACCACCCTCAAAATGGAAAAATTCAGAATTCAGAGTTGTTACAATATGTTATCTAAAATGTCTAGTATTCAACCAAAAATTATTAGACATGCAAAAGGAGATAAGAAAGTACAACCGATGGTTGTGGGGAAGGGGGGAAACAGTCAGTAGAAACTGATTCTAAGTGCTCCAGATGTTTGATTTAGCAATCAGAGACTTCAAAGCAACTCATATAAATATGTTCAAGGAGCTGAAGGAAACCATGTTTAATGAATTAAAGGAAAACATGCCAGTAACTCTAGGGAATTTCAGTAAAATCATAGAAATTGTTATCTAAAATGGGGGTCCTGGAATTGAAGTGTACAATAGGCGAAACAAAAAAGTAGTGGGACTTGAGCAGATATGAGAATGGCAGAAGAATTAGTGAACTTGAATATAGACAAATAGAAATCATCCAGTTTGGGGATGCCTGGGTGGCTCAGTCAGTTAAGCAGCTGCTTTCAGCTCAGGTCATGATCCCAGGGTCCTGGGATTGAGTCCTGCATCAGGCTCCTTGCTCGGGGGGGGCCTGCTTCTCCCTCTGCCTGCTCTGCCTGCCACTTCCCCTGCTTGTGCTCTCTCTCCCTCTCTCTAACAAATAAATAAATGAATAAAATCTTTAAAAATAAGTAATCCAATTTGAAGAAGAGAGAGTAAAAAGATTAAAGAAAAATGTACAGAATCTCACAGACCTGTTGGACCACAGCAAATGTGTTAACGTAAGTGTAATGGGGATTCCCAGAAAGAGAAGAGAAAATAGGCATAAAAAAAATTCGAAAAATAGTGGCCAAAAAATTCCAAAAGTTGTTGAAAATCATTAGTGTACAGATACAAATATTTTAAGAACTCCAAGTAAAATAAACATAAAAAGGTCCGTACCTAGACACATCATAGATTGTTGAAAGACAAAAAGAAAATCTTGAATACAGTTAGAGAAAACTGACTCATGATGTACAAGAAAACAATTACATGATTAATGGTCGACTTTTTTTTTTTTAAGATTTTATTTATATATTTATTTATTTGAGAGAGAGTGAGAAACAGCATGAGAGGGGAGAGGGTCAGAGGGAGAAGCAGGCTCCCTGCTGAGCAGGAGCCCAATGTGGGACTCGATCCCGGGACTCCTGGATCATGACCTGAGCCGAAGGCATCGCTTAACCAATTGAGTCCCCCAGGTGCCCCTAATGGTCAACTTCTTATCAGAAACATTGGACCCCAGAAGACAGAGTGCTGAAAGAAAATAAAACTGTCAACCAAGAATTCTATATGCAGCAAAACTAACTTTACCAAATGAAGATGAAATAAGAACATTCCTAGATAAAAACAACAACAACAACAACAAAAAACCCACCAGAATTCATTGCTAGTAAGCCTACCTTACAAGAAAGCCAAATGAAATCTTTCAGGCTGAGAGAAAGCAATATCAGTAACTTAAGTCTACAGGAAGGAATGAAAAGTTCTGAGAATAGGAAATATGTGGGTTAATATAAAAAGCTGCATAAATATATTCTTATTTTTTCTTCCAATGTTATTAAAAAATGAGATTGTATAAAAGAATAATTATAATGCTGTATTACATATATCACATATTTATACATTGTCATACATAGGACACTAATAGCACAAAGGAGTGAAGAGGAAAAGAAGATATATTGGAGTAAAGTTTCTATATTTATAGGAATTAAGTTAGTATTATTTTGAGGTTGATTCATGATAAGTTGTGATGCATATTGTAATCTGTAGAGCAACCACTAAGAAAGTAGGTCAAAATTATAATTCAAAAATTAGAAATTAAAATGGTACAGTAAAAAATAATTATTTAACACAGAATAGGCAGTGAAGGAAGAGCAGAGGTGCAAAAAATACATGAAACATATGGAAAATAAATAGAAAAAGAATAGATACAATTCTGAATACGTCAATAATTACATTAAGTTGAATGGTTAGTTAAAAGCAAAACTCAACTATATGCTGTCTCCAAGAAACAGCCCTTAGATTCAAAGATACAAGTATGTTGAAAGTAAAGGGGTAGGAAAATATACACCCTGTAGGGGCGCCTGGGTGGTTCAGTCGATTAAGTGTTTGCCTTTGGCCCAGGTCATGATCCCAGGGGCCTGGGATCAAGCCCCGCATCAGGCTCCTTGCTCAGCGGGGAGCCTGTTTCTCTCTCTCCCTCTGTCTACCACTCTGTCTACTTGTGCTCTCTCTCTCTCTCTCTCTGTCAAATAAATAAATAAGATCTTAAAAAAAAAGAAAAAAGAAAAATATACACCATGTAAATAGTAACCATAAGAGTTATAGTATTATGTTAGTGTCAGGCAAAAAAATAAATTTTAAGACACATATGTACTATAGACAAAGAGGGACCTTTCATAATGATAAAGGGTCTGTACATCAAAAAGATGTAACAATTATAAATGTATGTGTTCCCAACAGTAGAGGTCCAAAATGTAAGAAGGAAAATCAACAGAACTGAAAGGAGAAATAAACAATTCAGTTACAATAGTTGGAGATTTCAGTACTTTGCTTTCAGTAATTGGTAGAACAACTAGGCAGAAATCTGCAAGAATATAGAAGATTTATAGAAGACTATAGAAATTATCAACCAATGTGACCTGACATTTAACATCTACAGAATACATTTTCAAGTGCACATAGACTATTCTCCAGGATAAACCATATACTGCGTAAAGCTAAAGTATGTAGTTATAAGGTAAATAAGTTATGGGGTTGTGATACTTCAACTTGATGACTAGAGCTAATAATGCTATATTGTATATTTGAAAGTTCCTAAGAGAGCAGATCTTAAAAATTCTCATCACAAGAACAAAAAAATTGTAATTGTATGAAGTGATGGATGTTAACTGTGGTAGTCCTTTTGCAATATATACACATATCAAATCATTAAGTTATACAGATTAAACTTAAAATGTTATATGTCAATTATATTTCAATAAAACTGGAAAAAATAAATGATAGTACATTCAAATTTAAAGTTATCTACCTTAAGAAAAATATACACCATGGGCACCTGGGTGGCTCAGTTGGTTAAGCAACTGCCTTCGGCTCAGGTCATGATCCTGGAGTCCCGGGATCGAGTCCCACATCGGGCTTCCTGCTCAGCAGGGAGTCTGCTTCTCCCTCTGACCCTCTTCCCTCTCGTGCTTTCTATCTCTCATTCTCTCTCTCTCTCTCAAATAAATGAATAAAATCTTTAAAAAAAAAAAAAAGAAAAATATATACCAGTTAATCACATTGTGCAGGACTTTAGTTGGATTCTGATTCAAAGAAACAAAAAAATTGAGTAGGAAATTTGAACAGTGACTAGCTTTTGATACGCTAAGGAATGTTGATAATATTCTAGGTACACTGATGGTATTATGATTGTGTTTTTGAGGATCTTTATCCTTTGGAGATGCATATTGTAATATTTACAACGAAATTTTAGTGATGAATTGGCTTTAAAATAATGTGGGTAGGTGAAATAAGGGGGTATAGGCAAAGTGAGACTGGCCATGAGTTGATCTTTTTTTTTTTTTTTTAAGATTTTATTTGTCAGAGAGAGAGAGCGTGCAGAAGCAGGGAGAGCAACAGGCAGAGGGAGAAGCAGGCTCCCCGCTGAGTAAGGAGCCCGATGTGGGACTCGATCCCAGGACCCTGGGATCATGACCTGAGCTGAAGGCAGGCACTTAATCGACTGAGCCACCCAGGTGTTCCCTTTTTTTTTTTTCTTTTTTGAGTTGATCATTGTTGAAGCTAGGTGAAGGTACCTGGGGATTCAGTATACTATTTTTTCTACTGTCATATATGTTTGGAATTTCCCCTAATACAATTATTTTTAAGGCAAAAATAAAAGGCTAATCAAGATAGTGTGACATTAACATTAAGATAGATCCATGGAACAGAAAGGAGTCCAAAATAAACTCATATATGTATAGGCAACTGATTTTTCACAAACTTGCAAAGGTAATTCAGTGCAGAATGTGTAATCTTTTCAACAAATGCTGGTAGGACAAGTGGATAAACTTATGTTAAAACAAAAAACAACCCCCCTCCCCCCAAATAAAACAACTTTGATCCATACCTTGCACTTTATCTAAAAATTAACTCCAACTAGAGCATAGACATAAATGTGAAGCCTGAAACTATTAAACTTGAAGATAACTTGGGAGAACCTTTGTGATATTGGATTAGGCAAAGAAATTTTTTAATAGGGCACTAAAAACACAAATTGAACAAAATGAAATTTGCCATTGGTCAAAATTTAAAACTTTTCTTTGAAAGACATTATTAAGAGAATAAAAGGAAAAGCCACAGATAGGGAAAATTTATATGTAAAACATATCTGATAAAGGACTTGTATCCATGATATATATATAGAACTATCTCAGTAGTAAGAAAGCAACTCAATTTTAAACCAACACTTAACTAAAGAAAATATACAGATGGCAATTAAGCACTTGAAAAGATGCAAAAATCTTTAATCATTCAGGGAGTGCAAGTTAAAATCAAATGAGATACCACTATACGCTTTTTAAAATAGCTAAAATTCAAAAGGGTGATTATACTAATTCGTGGCCTGATATGTAGGAGCTGGAGTTCTCATCCACTATATTACCAGTTGAAATGTAAAGTGATACAACTTTGGAAAATAAGTTAACAATTTAAACATATATCTACCGTATGATCCAAAACCACAAAGCTATTTTTCCCAAAAGAAGTGGTATGTCCATACAAAGACTTGTACTCAAATATTCATAGCAGCTTTATTTGTAATTGCTCAAAGCTGGAAACAACCCAAATGTCCATGAAGAGGTGAATGGATAAATAAACCTGGTATATTCATACAATGGAATACGATTCAGCAATAAAAAGGAGTGAACTGTTGATACATGCCTCAACATGGATGAATCTCAAAATAATTATGCACAGTGAAAGAAACCAGACTTTGTATGATTCCATTTGTATGAAATATCCTGAGAAGACATTTTATATAGAAAGTTGAGCGGTTGCCTAGGCATAGGGAAGGGAATGGAGATTGATTGGAAACCAACTTGAGGGAATTTAGGGGGTTATTGGAAATGTTTTAAAACTGGTTTTGGTGATGGATGCACAACATTATAATAAACAAAACCCCACACTGAATTTTTTTTTAAAAAAAGGAAAAATAGTTTTGCTCTTGAGGGCTGGATGCCCCTGAATAGACAACATAGGTAGAGTGCTTGCCCTGACAATTTAACATGCTGTGACTCCAGTTAAGGAGAGACAAACCCCATCGGGGGCCCCACACCTTCTGTGGATCTCTACTGATGAGAGTCAGCCCCGAGGAGGGGAGTTGAGCATTTGCCTGCTAAATTGTACTAAAAATTCAGGTACCTCTGAAAATTGTGCTCAGAGGACTTTGTGGGGATTTACTGTGTGCAAGTCCTGCTCATATGTTTAATGAAGTAAGGACCCTGGGCTTACTGATTGACTTATCAGACTTTGAGAGCTCATCTGGTTCAGAGCACATTCAAATACAGATTTCCTGAGTGATTTGGCTAAAAATCCAGAATATCACCTTGTTTAGGAGGGTGTCTAAGGGCAAAGAAACCACTCTGTTCCAAATGACAAGCTTTATTTATTTTTTTCCAAATGCAATCTAGGGGCTTTATTTGGATCACAATTTGAACAAACCAAAAGAAAAAAAAAAGACATCTGTGAGGCATTTGTACTGGGTATTAGCTAATAGGAGTTGTTATTCTGTTAAATTATGGGGGTTATGCATTTTTAAAAATTTTAAAATTTTTATATATATATATTTTAAAGATTTTATGTATTTATCTGACAGAGACAGACACAGCAAGAGAGGGAACACAAGCAGGGGGAGTGGGAGAGGGGGAAGCAGGCCTCCTGCGGAGCAGGGAGCCCGATGCGGGGCCTGATCCCAGGACTCCGGGATCACAACCCAAGCCAAAGGCAGACACTTAATGACTGAGCCACCCAGGCGCCCCTAATTTTTATATTTTTTAAATTTATTTTTTATTAACAATGTATTATTTGTTTCAGGGATACAGGTCTGTGATTCATCAGTCTTACACAATTCACAATGCTCACCATAGCACATACCCTCCCCAGTGTCCATCACCCAGCCACCCCATCCCTCCCACCCCCCTCCACTCCAGCAACCCTGTTTGTTTCCTGAGATTAAGAGTCTCTTATGGTTTGTCTCCCCCTCCGGTTTCGTCTTGTTTCATTTTTCCCTCCCTTCCCCTATGATCTTCTGTCTTGTTTCTCAAATTCCTCATATCAGTGAGATCATATGATAATTGCCTTTCTCTGATTGACTTATTTCTCCTAGCATAATACCCTCTAGTTCTCTCCATGTCATTGCAAATGGCAAGATTTCATTTTTTTGATGGCTGCATATTATTCCATTGTGTGTGTGTATATTGTGTGTGTGTACATACACCACATTTTCTTTATCCATTCATCTGTTGATGGACATCTAGGCTCTTTCCATAGTTTATCTATCATGAACATTGCTATAAACATTGGGATGCAGGTGCCCCTTTGGATCACTACATTTGTATCTTTGGGGTAAATACCCAGTAGTGCAATTTTCAACATTTTGAGGAACCTCCATACTGTTTGCCAGAGTGGCTATACCAGCTTGCATTCCATTCCCACAAACAGTGTAGGAGGGTTCCCCTTTCTCCACATCCTCACCAACATCTGTCGTTTCCTGACTTGTTAATTTTAGCCATTCTGACTGGTGTGAGGCGGTATCTCATTGAGGTTTGGATTTGTATTTCCCTGATTCCGAGTGATATTGAGCACTTTTTCATGTGTCTGTTGGCCATTTGGATATCTTTTTTGCAGAAATGTCTGTTCATGTCAAATGACAAGCTTTAAATGTGTTTTCTCCCTTAGGCGATCCTGGAGAACAACCTCCCCTCTGAAATTGCTAGCAAGATCAACCTTGTGGACCTAGCAGGCAGGTAATTAGGATTTCAAAGCCAAGGGGAATTAATCCCTTGACAAAGACCTTGCTCTTGCCCATTTTACAGGGAATAAACTTGTTCCATCTTTTTTCACATTTCGATCATCCTGAGAAAATTACAAAAAAACCCACAATTTTTTGAATGCTATGTTAAGAAATTATAGTTTTCCAGGAGCTAAAAAAAAATCTATGTCAAGGGTTCTAAATCTTAGCTGCCTAGTAAAATCACCTGGGCCTTTAAAAATTCTCAGTGCCTTGGTTTCATCTCTGATCAAATAAACCTCATTATTAGTGAGGTCAGAGGCAGTGCAGTCTTTAGTAATTTTTTGAAGCTGCCCAGGTGATTCCAGTTTATAGCCAAGATCAAAAAACACTGCTCTAAGTGGAAGTAGCTGAGTTAGTGCACTTTTTTTCTCTGTCTTAATTGTATGCAGCCCTATGTGTTACTGGAAAAAAAGAAATCTTTTAAAAATTCTGCGGCAATGAGAAGATACGACTTCCTAAGTATTAGAAGAAAGCATGAGTTGTAGTCACATGTATATCCAGAAAGAAGAAAGTCTTGGGGATAATGTCACAAAAAAAAGTATGAGATGAGATAAAGCAAATTTTCTTATTTTAAAACTAAATTATTAATATGGTACATCATTCCATTAAAAATGAAGTGTTACCTCTGTCAGCTGCAACTCTGGCATTTTGGGGGGAAAAATGAAGTGCTGTCTGGAAGAAACTATATCAGGCACCTGGAAGTATGACTTTTTAGTATTTCCCGTTGACAGTTGACAGATAATGATAAAGCCATTAATAGATGAAATTAAAACAAAGATTGGGCATATTGATGCTAATATCATTACTGTAAATGAGCATTACAGTTAGCTAAAAGTGCTCTGGCAGCCAAAATAAAGAAAATATAATGAATTATTTGATTTCTATTGCCCAAGAAGTGGAGGAATGCCAGTTCATTACAAGATGGTAATACTTTTTCTGGTAGTGAATTCTAAAAAGAATTTATCATGTGAGCTTTTTATATAATGTACAACATAATGGATAGTGTCTTTCAACAACATTATAAGGACAGTGTCTTCTTCTTTGCTTTTATTTTTGTTTTCATTGACTGTTTTAGTGAAAGAGCAGATCCCAGTTACTGTAAGGACCGCATTACTGAAGGAGCCAATATCAACAAGTCTCTTGTGACTCTGGGAATTGTCATCTCCACCTTAGGTATTTTGCTGATAGACTGGATCATCAGAGTGGGAGGGAGACTTTGGAAAATAACTCACATATTTTCATTTTATGAAAATGGGGTAGACATTTACAAGGTTCTTTTTTTTATAAAGTTACCTTCTGACTGAGGCCATAAATATTGATATTTGTCTGCAGTTGAGAAAACTGTGTGGTCATCATCCCAACCCTCTCATTTCAAGAAGAAGGGAGACTGAAAACTCATGTGGCTCAGATAGTCTGTGTTCTGAGTCCAAAGTCTAATTCAGGATTCAAACTTGTAGCATTCTGTCATGCAGAGACGGATTATAAAGTGTGATACTTAAATTTGTGTTCTCCAGCCATTGTTTTAATGCATTTTCACAGTTCCTTTCTTCTTCCACTTTTATTATTTTGTTGTCTTTAAAGCCCAGAATTCCCAAGCATTCAGCAGCTGCCAGAGCCTCAACAGTACAGCCAGTGATGGTGGTGACAGTGGGATCCCTAGCTCTCCTTCTGGGACCAGCAGTGGAGGGGGGCCCTCCCGGAGGCAGTCTTACATCCCATACCGGGACTCCGTGTTGACATGGCTGCTGAAGGACAGTCTTGGAGGCAACTCCAAAACTATCATGGTTGCTAGTGAGTGGGATGCTGGAGCTGGTTCTGTGTTGGGACTGGTATTCTGCCTCAGAGAAAGGGCCATGACCACCCATTTCATTAAGGGTCTCATAATACAGCATGGACGGTAGCAGTAAGGCAAGTGGTTACAGGCTGGGTCAGAAGGGCTTGGCGTGGTTTTTAACTTTCTCCTTCTAACTCAGCTGTGTCTCCTGCACACACTTGCTACAGTGAGACCATGAGCACACTGAGGTATGCATCCAATGCCAAACACATCATCAACAAGCCACGGGTAAATGAGGTGAGACCTTCATTTGAAGTCCTGGTCTGGTATTGTTTACACTAAGTCTTCTATTCTCTCATTTTTTAAATTCCTTCCTTCCTTCCTTCTTTTCTTTCTTGTTTCCTTTCCTTTCCTTTCTTTTTCTGTCTTTCTCTCTCTTCACCCTCACCCCAACTTGCCTGACTTTGCCAAATGAAAATGGAGTGGAATTCTTTCTTTCAGTGTCATACCCTTCTCTCATATCTCTGCTGACTTAATTCAGTTGCCTTTTTGAATAATTTATTTTAGATATTTCTCTGAGACCATTCCTTTTAAGATCTTTGGTGTACCACTGCCACCCTAAGGGAGATCATTTAAAAGTTTCTGTGTTCTCTGCTTTTATTTTGAGTTTATGTTGATGTATGCTTGTATTTTATTTTCTGTGCAAACTGCAGTGACCTCTGTTTCAGGCTAAAAAGGGGCATATTAAGGAATTTATTTGTTTTGAAAAGGAGTAATAATGAGAAATTTAAAAAATATGCTTTGCAATTTCAGTGAAAAGTTTCAGGGCAGGGATCACAAACTGGTGGCCAGGCCTATATAGCCCATCTGTGGACTGTTTTAAAAGGCAATGTAATTAGGTAGGTACTAAGTTTAGTCGCATTACAGGAAGATGAGCATCTACTACCTACACATGTGCTGGCACTTGTGTTACCCATCAACCTGCTCAAGGGCAGCGATTCTCATACTCTAGATCAGAATCACCTCCTGGAGGATTGGTTACACCACAGCTGGGCCCCAGCCCTCAAGAGTTTCTGATTTGGTGGGTGGTGGGGAAGCAGAATTAGAATTTCTAACAAGTTCTTAGGTGGAGTTGATGTGGTTCTGGGACCATACTTTGAGAAGACTGTTTCAGAAGTTACTCCAAAGGAGTAAACCACCTTTTCCAAACTAGTTCTGTGTAGCATCTTAGAGCTGGTTGGGGCCTGATACCAGTCTTTGTGAAACCTAGTTCTTCGTGTTTCAGGATGCAAATATGAAACTGATCAGAGAACTCAGGGAGGAGATTGGAAGACTCAAAGCCATGCTGCTGAACTTCGAACTGGTATTCAGGCTATCAGAACTTTTCTGTTCCCCAAAACCTGCTTTTCTTCTGCATAGAATCCGAGCCCTGCTGCATTCCATGTTTCCAATTAAGGGACACTTGTGGAACAGAGGCAGGAGCAAAGACAGGACATGGATGACTCTGATTACCTGAGTAGTTTCAGATGGGGTGGACATCGCCACTATATCATTTTTGTTGTCCAAAGGGCATTTGCCTAAATGGCCCTTCTTCTGTGTGTAGGTGGATTCAGGGATTGGGGCCCTCTAGAAAAATTTCTTCGAATTTTCCTTCTTTGTACCAATGTGAACCCCAATATTTAAGCTTCTGATTTGTTTCTGATTTTAATGATAAAGTCTTTTCTTTATCTGCCCGTCTCTTCCTTCATAAGAGTAAGGGTGAGACCCACAAAGCACATCTGTCTCTTTGTGCAGAGAAATTACAGCCTATTGAATGAGGAAAAGGATGAGAATCTGAAGGAGCTGGTTCTCCAGAATGAATTGAAGGTGGGTGAATTGGGTGGACTCAGTTATGCTCTGCATCACCCTGGTAGTGGGTCTCATCTCCTTCCATTATTCCTGAGTCATGGCTGCTCCCTTGTGAGGACAGAGAGTTTCTATCTAGTTTAGAGACAGTTTTTGTCTTCATTGAGCTTTGAGTGGGGAATGAGTTTGCCTTAGGGGCTGGTAACTGGCTTTCTTTGTTTTGTTCTCTTAGGGGTTAATGATATGGCAGAGAGTAGTGGAGGTAAGGTTAGGGCCAGTTTAGGAGTTTGGACTTGACATTCACAATATTAATCATGGCTTCTTGAACCAGTTTGGTGACATAATAAAAGTGTATATTGGGAAATTAATATGACAGTTGTGTGTAGGATGAATTGAAGGGAGGGAAGATTGGAAGCAGAGAGATCAACCAGGAAAGAGACTAATTTTGTGACTCCATGAGGGTGAGGACAAGACATATGGGGAGGTTAGATTAAATGGTGCTTCCTGGAGACACTTACAAGGAAGAAATGGCAGGCATTATTTGGTGACATTTTAGAGTTAGATACCACAACCCAAATGTCCCAATTCCCACTATTCTGTTGCATTATCATTATACATTATAAAGTATCCTGGCTATGTCAGTATTTTGTTACCCAAACTAAACTTTAGGACTACATCACACATCCAGACATTTCTCAAAAATTCTGTGCTTAAATATATGTTCTGATTTTTGGTTCAGAAAATATTACTGCTGTATACATAAAAGATGAAGTACAGAGTCAGAATCATTCCAAGCTCATTAGCAGTTTTACATTATACATTTCTGGCAGACCTGGACTTGAATCTGCCACTTGCTGGCCTTTGACCTTAGGCAGTAAAGGGGTAGGTGATGAAAGCCAGCCAGAAGGGGAGGTGTGTTCAGCGGTACCTCCAGGTAGCTGAACCAGGCAGGCTAAACTGTAAGCCAGACTGCCCTGCTGCTCACCTTTGCCAGGTCCTTATCCAACCCAGCCCTTCATGGGTACCCTGTAGTCTCACTCTTTGCAAACTTCAACTCAATGAGTATAATGTGAAAAATAACATTTCTAGGGTATGTAAAACACTTGTACCTAAACTTGTCATACTTTGTTTCTTCTCAAGTACTTAGCTGAATCCAGGTCCTTTTCCTGCTTCCTCAGTTCTTCTATTCCTGGGCTAACTTTCCTGCCTGGGCATCCATTTCCACCAAAAGAAGAAAAAAGCACCTTACATTCAACGTCGTTAATTCACGTTCCCCAGGTGGCTTTACCTTAAGGCCTCTAACTTGCTGTATTGTGTGTGTGTGTGTGTGTGTGTACATATGTATACACATGTATACATATATACATGGTTTTTTTTTAAGGCGGGGTAGAGGGAGAGAGAGAATCTTAAGCAGGCTCCACGCCCAGTGTGGAGCCCGATCTGGAACTCGATCTCACAACCCTGATATCATATCCTGAGCCGGAATTAAGAGTCAGATGCTTAACCCACTGAGCCACGCCGGCACCCCTACATATTTTTTAAACTCTGTTCCTAATACATAGTAAGCCCTCAGTATTTTATTGTTATTATTACCTGGTCTTTGAGACCAGTTTTTCTTTTTCTCTTTTTTTAGAAATTTTAAATAGAATTTTTATTGGAATATGATGGACATGCAGAAACATAAAATACACAAAATACAAAAAACACAAAATACAACATAGTAGCATTCAATGGATTTTCCACAAAGTGCACACAGCCATGTAACCACCACCCAGATCAAGAAATACAATACTATTGGTACTACCCAAGATCCCTCATGGCCCACTGCAGTCAGTGCCCCTCCAAAGGTAACAACTATTAAGACAACTGTCAGACCAGTTTCTTATAGTCTTCGTTCTGAGGAGATTCCCCTTGATGCTTTGTGTATCTTTGAGCCCCATACAAGCTTATATTAGGATTTGAGGTTCTGCACCTTGGGAAAGAAGTGTTGGGTCATAAAACTATTCCCAGTATGGATCACATAGAAGAGGGGTAGGGAAAGGGGAATTATAAACATAGATATATGACTAACATCTCAATTAATTTTAAAAAATAACATTTATGGCATTTTTTTATAGAAACAATATACGCTTGTTGTAGAAAACTTTAAAAATAACATTTACAGAGGGAGTTTCTATTTATAAAAGTAATACTTGCTTATTGAAGAGATGTTAGAAAACAGCTCACAGAGGAGGTGCAAAAGCTTTGAATAGTAACACTGAGGAAAGTGAGGAAGGAATGCCATGAGGAATCAGACCAGGATGACTTCTGACCTTAAGTCTGCTCCACAGGCAGGGTGTCTAAAACTGCCTCCTCCATCTCTGCAGATAGACCAGCTGACTAAAGACTGGACCCAGAAGTGGAATGAGTGGAAGGCCCTCGTGGAACATTACAGAGTGGACATCAACAGGAGGAGGGCTGGCGTGGTCATTGACTCCAGCCTGCCACATCTAATGGCCTTGGAGGATGACGTACTCAGCACAGGTGTCGTGCTCTATCATCTCAAGGTGAGCAGGCTGGTGCATTCCCTCTTTTGCTGAGCCACTGGCCCCAGAGGTCAAAAACAGAGAAGTTGAGGGCAGTAGCCATGCATCTATGAATTGAGCCAGTTGCCACTGAGCTGCCATTTAGGTTTGCCCTCAGGAAACTGGGCTAGCCAACCAATTGTGATTCATTTGCTTTTGTATAATTAGAGCAGAAGACTGGAAATCAGAACAATTACTTGTTTTTCTGTGGCTGCCACTGTGCTCTTAGATAACTTACTTTCGTTCTCTGTGATTTTAATCTCCACATTTTAAAGTAAGAAAGATGCTGCTTATGTTCCTTTTCTGGCTTCCTGAAGGACAGGAGTGCAGACATGGAAGTGAAATCCTAACCTCAAAATACCGTGGGCACTCCCAAGCTCTGCACATCCAGGCTGCTCACAGACAGCTTTCAGAGGCTAAAGGGGATCAAGATCTGAAACAGTTTTCTTCTAATACCTCCCCACTCCTCAACTCTCAAGTCAACAAAAAGTGCACCTCCTGCTTCTCCATTACTAGGTTTACTGGGGAAAGGAGAGAGGAGGATGAAAGTAGATGCAGAAAGCTTAAAGAAAGCATGAGGGAGAGCCCAGAGAGCTGGTGGGCTGGGGTGGGGCCGGGCACAGCATGCAGCCATCTAGAAGTCGGAATGAAGCTCCTGCCTTCAAGAAAGACCTGGATCACCTGGTTGTCACGTGGAGGCAGGTCCTCATTTCTAAATGAAGCATTTTGAGAGTTAGTCCCCACTGGTAGGTCAGTCATATCCTGTCCTCATCAAAAATATTTGTCTCCCTGTAGAAGGACAGTCTCTGTGGTTGGCAGAACATACTTTATGTGGCCAAAATCCCTGTGCTCACTGAAAATCCAATCATCATTCTCCTAATTGCCCCCAGCTGCCATTTGAAAGGAACAGAGTGTATGGGGGATACATAATGCTCCTCTTATCCCTGGAGAAGTCAGGCTTCTAATGCTGTCATGCGTCTGGTAGTGAGATGTTAAAAGGCGCTCATTTTAGGTAAGCCCTTAGGGAAGTTGTCAGAGACCGAGCCTCTCAGAAAGTTAAAGTAGCTTATTTTCAACACAGTGAGTGTAAATTCGCTCAGTGAAAATGCCTCAGGCAGAAGTGGCTGTTACCTAAATAACAGGTCTAAATACCAAAGGCTGTCGATCCTTCTATTAGTGAGAACCAAGGGGAGAGGTTGGAGGTCAGGCAGAGACCAGGTGGATTAGAATGGTTAATATCTGAGTAGAACTGATCTGCTGTATTGGTTGGATGTGGAGCAAGCAGATGAAGCTAGAATTCAAGTGGCAGAACTCAGGGTGGCATTAGAGGGTTAAAGGACAGTCCTGAGATTGAATCAGAGACAAGAGACGAGTGCAGCCCTCATCTGAATGTAGGAGTGCTGGTTTTCATTGCAGAATCTGTGTGCACTGAGGGTGGTGCCCCTTCCTTGATGCGTTTCCAGTGAACCTGAGGGATGAGGGTTCAATCTAGTTCTAATCCTGGAATTCTTCATTTTATGTACCCATTTTCTCCCTTTTTGTTTGTTTAGATCCTGGTTGGGTAATAGTATAGCAGTAATTGCTCAAGGATCTCTGTGTGTTTGTTTGCATTGCTGTCTTGGTTACAGACCTAATCCCTGTCTATGCCCAGGAAGCTTTTTTTCCCTTTGGTCACCTTGGGAAGTACCTTGGGTGGGAAGAGGACAGAAGGAAGTGTGGGTGGAGCACAGGTTACTGGTATCCTGGACTTCATTCTCATAATTGCCTTGTGCCATTAATTCTCCCTGCATAAATAAGCAGAGGGGGCAGCAAGCACAGGCATCAACTAAGTCCTTGTTAAATGAGATGCCATTGTGTTTTGTGGTGGTTTCTGCCCTGTAGGGGTAGGAGTTTTGATAGGCTGTGACCTTATCTTTTAGTAAGGAATGCATTTCACAGGGCTGATCATGAACTGGCAGGAGAGGTCTTGACCCCTTTTCCTCAGTTTTGTTTGGTGGTGTTTGTAGAGGCCAGCATCCATTTGTTTATGTGGTCCTCAGTGGCTGAGCAGGAAAGGCTGGGCTCTGGCTGTCTGTGGGTGCAAGCCCAGTAAGGTCAGAGTCTCATTCATTACTTCCAGGAGCCTGCCTTTACACCAGCTATTTTAGGGGAGCTGCAGGGACCGCCCACTTCTGACTGCTAACAGTGAAGCCTAGTAGGGAACTCTCTGCTCACTTCAAAAACATCAGCTACTAGGGAGGTGGTATGGTGAGGATGGACAAGCATGGGCTCAGGCCCAGAGAGACCTCAATTCTAGCCATGGCTCTCCTATTTAGTATATAGGTTCCCTGGACAACTTTCCCCATCAGCTTCAGATTCTTCTTATATAAAAGGGAGATAATAACTATTTTAGGTTGTTTAAGGATTAAGTAAGAGATGTCTATAAAGCACTCAGTGCAATGCCTGGGACATAGTGATTGGTTTTTCAATACATGATAAACATGTATCTAAACTCAGCATCTCTGTTGTCATGTTGCTGCCTTCCCCAAACAGAGGTATGTGTTCTTAAAAGAATTGCCGTAATCCAAGGGCCAAAAGGCCCTGTCTTCTACTAACCCAGCGATTGGTTTATGCTAACTCCAGTTTCCCTTCCTCTCTTATACTTTCTTCCAGTCCTTTTTGATTCTAGATATGCTTTTCTCCTATTTGTGCTTTACCCTTCTTAGCATCTGGTATCTGTTGAACTTCATCTGTCAACCAAGAAGGTAAAAATCCTGTGCTTCCATACATCTTCATAGAACATGTGTCTCTTTGAGACTAAATGGACCAGACTTGGACCGTACCAACCTTAGTCTCTGGAGGAAAGTTCTGCCTGTGTGCCCACTTTCTCAGACTAGAGAGTCTCTGACCAATGGGTCATGGCTGTTCCCTAACATCAGACTGTGGGACAGACGAAAGTTTGCCAATACTTGTTGACTTTGGAAAGAGCTGGTGCTGCTTTCTTATGTCCCTCCCTCCCCCCCCCCCCCCCCCCCCCCGCCTTCTCAGGGGCTTCCTGGTCTGCAGTGAGTGGGCAGAGCAGTCAGAACAGCCTGGACCAAAGTTGAGAAGTGGTGTGGAAAATGCCAGGGTGGGCATGGGAAGACAGTGGTAACACTCCAACAGGTAGACTCTGCTTTGGGGGCAGGCTGTGTCTCTTTTTACTCTTGTTAAAAGGGCTTTGTGTTTTCCTTTAGGAAGGGACAACAAAAATAGGAAGGATTGACTCAGACCAGGAACAGGACATTGGTAAGTGCTAGAACATTTGGGTCTGGCACTGTCGCAAGTAGTCATGTGTGACCAGTCTCTTTAGAGGAGCCTGATGATGCTCTGATGAGAAGAAGGTATCTCTGAAGATCAAGGGACTGTTCCTGTTTTGTTTCTATGTTGTGGTCGTGGGTCAGGGACATGATAGGAGGAGACCCACACGGTGGGAGGATCCAGGTCTGGGTGGTTTCAGGTGGTGGGTCTTCCTCTCTTGTAATGTTAAGATCTTCCAGATGTGGATTCTGATCTCACAGAAAGGGTGTTTCCCTGGGTTGTCTCCCCACTCCATTGACCCCCATCTCTTGTATAGTCCTGCAGGGGCAGTGGATTGAGAGAGACCACTGTACTATCACCAGTGCCTGTGGGGTAGTCATTCTGCGACCTGCCCGGGGGGCCCGCTGCACAGTCAATGGCCGGGAGGTCATTGCCTCCTGTCGTCTGACCCAAGGTAAGACTGCTTATAGCTCTATTTATGCCAGGATGAGGGATGGACTCTCTCCATTCTCATGGGCCAAATCCAGAGAGCTCAGTGAAGCAGGCTTTAAAGTTGGGACACCCAGCCTCTGCACTCAGAGATGTGAAGATTTCCTAATACCACCCTCTTCCCATAAACAAAGAAGCCTCAATTCTGGGGTTCCAGGGTGGAGAATGACTCTCTGAAATTTGTACCTGTGTTCTTGGGAAGGTCTCTGAACCTCAGTTTTCTCCTCTGTAAGAAAGCCATAAGAGGATTGTTGTGAGGATTGAATGAGCTAGTTCATATGATGTTCTTCATAGTTCTTGGCACCCAGGAAATACTCATTATCATCATTGCTATTACTACTATTGTTAACCTATTACTATTACTACTATTGTTAATCTGATGTTAAACATTCCCTCACTATTCCACTGGGAACTTATTTTGCTTTCCCTTGGAGTAGCAGAACTCCTCCTATTCATTTTGTTAATTCAGTACATACGCTGTGAGATATCCAGTGAATCTTACTCACCTAAGTTATCAACTTGTTGAGGGCAGGATTTTGTTTTGCAGAGGGGTGCCCTACACATAATATATACTCAGAACGTGAGCTGTTGATTAATTCTCACCTGTCTCTGTCACAGGAGCAGTCATAACCCTGGGGAAAGCACAGAAGTTCCGATTCAACCACCCAGCAGAGGCCGCTGTCCTGCGGCAGAGAAGGCAGGTGAGTGTGCTCTGGTTTCAAGGTGCCTGCCAGCCTCCCTGTTTCTCCTTTTTGAGGGACAAGTTTGAGCTTTGTCTCGTTCTCTTGGATTGGGGGTGGTGACAGCAGCCTCACCACTTTTCTTCCTCGTTCCCAGGTCGGAGAGGCTGTCAGTGGCAGTGGCTCTTTGGAATGGTTGGACTTGGATGGAGATGTCACTGCCTCCCGGTTGGGTCTCTGCCCTTTGCTTTGGAAGAAAAGGTGAGAAACATGTGCTCCTTCTGCTGTGGAACCTACTGTTCTTACTTAGTCTCTTACAACATGGAGCCGGATGGGGGAGGTGAATGTGAGTGAGTGAGGCCTGTGCAAGTGATTGAGGGATCCCGAGCTAGCTGCTTAGCTTGTTGTTGGCAAGGAAGCGGTCTTGGCCTTCATTCATTTCCTGTTCAGTATTGTAACTTTGTTCATCACTGAAAGGAGTATATCATTTGATGTTTCCTACGGCCACTTTCCTCTGTCAAGACTTGAATGTGACGTGTTCATATGTATCTTTGAGACTGCTTCTGAACTTACCTCCCTGTGTTCCCCTTTAAATTCTGGACTGCCTGTGTGTGAGTTCATAGGGTGTGTCAACTTCCAGGACTATGCTTCCTCCAGGTTATTAAAGAGAGTATGGGACTGAGAATCTTTTTTTTTTTTTTTCCTCAATACCAAGGGTTCAGAACTATACATAAGAGGGTCAGAAACTCCCGGAACAATATGCAAATATTTTGGGGTTCTGCCCTCTCATACCCACTTCGCCTGCATTGTGACCATGGAAACATGGAGTCAGTTTTCTATGTGATTGGTGGCAACTACTTTTCTTCTTCATAGTCATTCTTGATCCATTTCTACATAGAATGCTCTTCCCAGATCTATATGTCTTGTAAGTCAGATACTGGGAACAGTGGTATCCTTCCTGTAAGTCAAAGTAGCCTCTGACCTGGGGACGTTCTATAGACAATGTCAGCAGGAGACTCAGTGTTTGTGAGACCCCTGGTGTCGGGAGGCTGCCCAGCACCATGAGCACGGGGCTCTGGAGGGGTTCTGATGGCCCTTTCCCCTGGTTCCTTCAAGAGGGATCTAGCTGTTCTTTTCTCAGGCCAGGAGCATTTGCTGGCAGCTGACGACAATTTTGGGTCTGACCTTGGTGGTGAGGGGCATTGGATGTAGGAGCAGAAGTGCTGTGATGCAGGGAGCATGAACAGCAGGCAAGTCCTCACGTGCGGGCTGCTAAGGACCGAAGGATGAGGCAGAGTCTAAGGCAGGATGGCCCCAGTGTTGCATGACAGAGGACTCTATGGAGTGACAGGGAAGGTGGGAGAGGTGACACAACTGGAGTGTATCAAGGCCAAGGCGGATTAAGGAGTAGCTGGAGCGTTTGTCTTGTCAGAGTGCAGTCATGAAAGGAGGCCTTGTCTTAGGTCTGGTTTCTGCTGGGAAGATGCATTGGAGCTCTGTCTTTCCCAGAGTTCACAGGTGTGCAGAGAAGAGAGCCCTGCAGCTTAACGAGCTGTGATATTGAAAAGTCACGTTGGAGTTGGATAAAGCTGCATCACGTCCTGAATTTCTGAAGTAAAAGCTGTGTGGCTTTAGGCAAGTTACTGAGTCTCCAAGTCTGTTGGCTCAGCCTAAGTAAGGATACTACCATCTGTCTCCAAGAGATCCGTGTGATAGGGGTTGAAAGAGCAAGTACATGTGGAGTGCTTTGCCTGCTACCTGACGCTACCAGCCCTGCTGCTGGAGGCCCTTGTTCAGAGCTGCCCAGGGACACAGCCTCCCTTTCATTTTTGTGCCTCCCACCTTGTCCCAGCTGACCCATCCACCCTAGAGAACATGGGTCTTCTCCTGCCTTTTTAAGGTGTTCTCAGCTCTCTAGCACATGGGCACTGACGTGACCTTTCAGCAACACCAAGAATGCATCCTTTCATTTGGAGAGGACAGAGAGGGATTGGAGAATCAAGGCCTCTCCCACTCGCTGCCTCCACTCTTTAGCACCAGCTCCAGGAGCCTGTGGGCTGGGCTGGTCCTATGCAGCTCCCGTAGCTAGCATCTGCATGCCAGGCCCTGGTGGAAGTGGGGTGGAGTGGGGCTCAAGCCTGTGATTGGGCAGAGGGACCAGGGAGAGAACCCGTGAGAGAGGAGAAAACTGCCTATTGTCAGCTGGGCTCCCAGACTGGGTTTGTGGCTGTGTCTCCATGAGAGTCTCATCTGTTCTGGTGGGGTTGGCTCTAAAGCCTCTCCTTGTCCTAGAATTTTCTTCCCTCGTTTTTCTCTCTCGAGGAGCACTCATGGGGAGCCTACAAAGCTGGAGCTAACTCCAGAGCCAGAGGAGATTGGCCAGTCTGCCTCTTTTTACCCTTTGCAGCAGTGATCTAGACCAGAGAGGAGTTTGTCCTCGAAAACTGTTGCATTTCCCCTTTGGAATTTTGGGGGCTTAACCTTAAGTGCTTAGAGCCTGGGAGACCCTGTTGCTGCTGCCACTGCCGCCTTAGTGAGTACACACTGCTGCATTCTGCTGCAGAAGCTGTCAGGCCTCGAAACAGCTGGGAGGCCTGGGAGAGAGGGTGGGGGAGGGCGTGATGGAGTCCTGGCAAGCAGGAGACCAGGCAGCAGCGGGGAGATGCTGGAGCTACTCACGATGAAGGGCAGTCATCTGACAGAGATCCTTGGCTGGCAGGTAACTGAAGACTTGCCAGTAGTAATCTACCCAGATATGTAACATAATGTTGGTATTTTTTTTGCCCACCTGCTTTCTGGGTGGAAAAGCACATTTGACTGATGTGCTTAGCAGAGGAGCCATTTTTCAGTCTACTGGCATGTGGCATCTCAGGTGAATGTGCTATATCTCTAGTGATCATCCCAGACAGCTTCCCCTTGCAGGTCTTGTTGGTGCTGTGAAGGAAGCTGCTTTGGGTCTGCAGGAGCTGACTGGCTCACTGCTGGGGGAAGGGTAGAGGGAGTTGTCTGCTCTGGAGAAGCAAATTGTGAATCTGAGGATTGGGAGACAGGGAGAGAAGGAAGTTGTGAATACTCTCTGGGAATTAAGAATAAAGATGCCCTTCCTGCTCTTTGCATCTGATGGTCTGGACTTTAGCTGGGTTTGTCTAAGACCTTCTGATGGTCATGTTTGTAATTCAGCCATGTCTGTAGTCAGACAAAATTTGGAGCAGTAATGCAGGCATGATACATATAAATACATGTATAAAATGTTTCCCATTAATGGCCTTTTCTATCTGTTTGGTATAAACTGGTTTTCTATTCTAACTGCTGTCCCTAGTCTTTTGCCTTACATGTGACAAAGGGTGCTTTTCCTTTTTTCTGTACATTCCAGTGTGTGTATTTGGCCTTTTGCCCATAGCAGTCAGCGCCAGTTTTCCCCTGAGCATACTCAAGTATCTGGGCCTGTCCAAGTCCTCGGACCCATTGTAGATTGAGTCACCTCATAGCCTCCTTCCCAGGGAAGAAATTGCTATCATGTCACCTCCTACCCACCCCCCACCCCCGCCCCATTCATCCTTCACTCTCCTCTGAAGGCTGCATTAAGAAATCGCAGTTTCTTCTAAGGCAGAGGCAGCAAACTTTCTGTAAAGGACCAGATAGTATTTTAGGATTTGTGGGCCGTACAGAATCTGCTGCAGCTATGCAAGCAGCCTAGATAATATGTGAGCAAATGAGTATTCCAATAACACTTTATTCACAAAAACAGGCAGTGGGCCACATTTGGCCTATGGGCTATCGTTTATGGACCTCTGCTTTGATAAACCCTCTGTGATTTCATTCGGCTCTACCAAGTAGTAAATGTAAGCCAGGTGAACCCCCTAGAGTACTACTGCTCAGACTATGTAGTGTAAGTTACTAAGTGGGCCTTGAAGAGGCATGGCATCCTGGGACCAGAATGAAGTCTAAGGGCTGGCTAAGGGAGGGCAGATTGGGGCTTTTTTATTAGCTTGCAGCAGATCCCAGTCCCTCCCAGTCACTCCCTACTCCCACCACCTGGAATCGCCGTGCACTTGGCTCCTTTAGAAACCTGAATGACAGGAATGGAGAGACCTTGCTGTGAGGTCCTTGCATAGGAGGCCATGTGTGACCAAAGGAAAAGCCACACAGGTAGAAGCTGTCAGTCTTCAGAGGAAGGCTCTAACTCATCCATGGCCACATAAGAACCTGATGGCAGAATAAAGCATGACTACAATCTAGAATTCTTTTTAAACTTTGTATTATGGAGAATTCCAAATACACAACCAGTCATCAAATCACGGCTAATCTTTTTCATTTATATCCCCACTCCCTTTCCACTCTCCCCTGCTCTCCCCGACTGGATCTAAATAAATCCCAGACAGTTTCACCAGTAAGTACTTCAGCATATATTTCTGAAAGTTATGGTAGAGTCTAAAACTCTTGAACTCTGTTCTTGGGCTCATTCACTGAGAACCGCCCTCAAGTGGAGACTAGCTCTCCTCCGGGTCTCCAGGCACACACACAGGTGTGGTGTGCATATAAATTCTCTCTCCTCTAGATTGGCTGTCTCCTACTCCCAGGTCACAGAGGGTTTCTGTTTCACAAAATGGAGATGGAATCATAATCTCTGAACAAGTAGGAGAGTTTCCATTCCCACAATGTTTGGAGCTTCTGTTCTACTCTGTTTCCAGCAGGTTTTAAGCAGACCTTTTTCTTTTTTAAAGGACGAAGCTTCTTGATTTAGCTAAAATGTTTGTGTTTTTTAAAGTTGCTTTACTTTCCTGGTCATTTTTCTTAACCAGAATGAACCTGTGTTTCTGGTCAACTCACAGTCTAAGAATATGCTAGTCTAGGGACCATTCTCCCCTCCTGCACTGTGACATCATGAACTGCCTATGACAGCATGCCTATGTGTGCTAAGTTGCCAGAAGTTCAAAGCCCACTCCGCCCTGTTGAATTCAGGGCTCTCAGAAAGGCTTAGACTGCCACTGGTTTGTCCTGAACTGGGTTTGCATTTCCCTTGGGTAACCCTGGCCCCTCTGTGATAGGAGAGTGCTAGAAGAGCAGAATGACGAGGACCACCAGCTGCTGAGGGCTGGAGAGGCGCCCCACAGGGCGCAGATTCAGCAGCAGCACTATGTGGGGGATTTGAGGCAGCGAATCCTAGCGGGACAGATTAGAGCCAAACAGGATCTGGAGTTGGACCAGGCTCACATCAGCCGGCAAATTAAAGACAGTAGGTGCCCAGTGCTCACCGTGTCTGCTTCACCTTCTCATCTCTTCATTTTCATGCTTCCACATCCTTCCTTATTCTCTCCTTTGTTTTCTTTGTGATATGATGGAATCTTTGATATTAGGTGTTCTCTCCCCTCTTTCAGAAACCAGAGGCTCTTATGAGGGGCTGGAAGCAAGAATAAGGAAGCTACCTTCCTTACTGCCCCTCAGAGTGATGGACCCCCTGCTCTCTCCTCACGTGCACATTTATCCATGCTTTACTGCCTGCCCCAGCATGTGCTAAGGCCTAGGGGCTTCCTTCCCTAGCCCTGTGGTAAGGGGGCCCGGTAGCCCTCATCCACCACATCACCCTGGCCAGCACTTTCCCTCCATTCATGTCCAACCACAGCCAGAGGTGTCTGAGTCTAGGCTGCACGGGTAGGGAGGGAGGTGCTGACTTTCTCTCAGGGAGTCTTTGGTTCCCAGACCAGCAGTGCCTGCTCGAAGAGACCTGGCTGGCTGGCTTGCAGCAGCAGCAAGACCACGTGGTAGAGAAAGAACTCGAGGCCTGTGTGCCACCTGGTGCTTGGCTTCAGGCAGATCCTGAGACTCTGCTAAACCCACTGGTCCAAAGCCAGAAGAGGGAGGTGCGACTGCAGCTTGGGCGCAGGAACGTACTTTGGGCAGCACAGCGGGACATCCGGCAAAGAAAGGCCTCCTTCCAGCTAGAGAGAATCATCAGGAAGCAGAGGCTGCTGGGGGCCCAGAAGGGACTGGAGCAGCCCAAGGCGTTGTGCTGGCTCCAGGATGACCGCACCCAGAAGCCCCCATACCGGGTACCTGGCACTGACGCCATGGTCCCAGGGCCTCAACATAGAAAGAGATGGACAGGTTACAGTTCTTTGAGCCTCCGAAGGCTCTGCAGCCGGTACTTGCCCCAGCTACACAGGTACAGCCAGCGGCGGTCACCTGGGGTCATTGGCTGAGGTTTACTGCCTTGTTGCTCAGGTGGTGTTCTTTACTTCCCAGGGCCTCAGTTTCTCAGTCTGTGAAATGGAAAGATTTGCTTACTCCTCTCTTCTCCACTTTTTCCCTCTTTTGACTGCTCTTCTTTCTCTGTAGGTGAGATCTTCTAAGACTCAGGGTTTTACCTTCTCCCAATCTGAGTGGCAACTCTTGCTGCTTTGGTGATATCTTCAAAGTGAGAATCTCAGCCTCATTTTTCACCTGCTCTTTAGACCCTGGCTATCCACGTACATCTCCTTGTGTTTGTCCTGCCACTGCCTCCATCTCATCTCTGCTCACACCAGACTCGGTTCCCACAGGCTTCCTCCCTCTCCCTCCCGCCTGTCCTGCCACCTCAAGTGAGCTTCCTGAACTTAACGAGTGGAACACTATCTTTCTGACTCCCAGGTCCAATTTGGGATCTTCCTGGTTTTTTTTTTTCTCCTTCACTCCTTTCAGTCAAGGTGAGGATGGAGTAGGGGACTGTGTCTGCTTCTTTATATCCTCCAGGCCTACCCCAGGGCCTTGCCCATAGTATGTATACAGTTCATGTCTGTTGGTTGTTTGCTCACCTCTCTGGTCTTCATAGTACTAGTCAGGCTTTTTTTTTTTAGACTTTTTATTAAAATTTTTCAAACATAAACTAAGTTGAGAGTATAGTATGCCTATTTCCCACATTCAGCAGTTACCAAGATTTACTATGCTTGCATTAATCTCCTTTCCGTCCTTTTTCTGATGAAGTATTTTTAAAGCACCCTCCTAGACATCATGTTATTTCTAAAATACAATGACTTTTCTTATAATCACATTGTCATTATTCACCTAACAAAATTAAGATCAGTTATTCAATATAATCTAAAACCTAGGCCATATCAGATTTCTCTTATTGCCTCAAAAATATCTATTTACAGTTGGTTGTTCAAATTAAGACCCAAGTAGGAATCACACACTGCATGTGGTTATGTCTTTTAAGTTCCATTTAATAATACTTTCTATTTCATTTTTATTTCTTCATATCATTTGTTAAAAGTGGATCAGTTCTGTAGAAGATGCCACTTTATAGATTTGCCTGTTTGATTCCTTGCAGTGTCATTTAGATTCTTCATACTGCCTATTAATGGAAGTTTTCCCTAAAGGCATGATTAGATTCAGATTCAGTTCAGTCTTTTTATAAGATAAAGAAATTGAGCAACAGAGTGTACCTGAGCCTCTTTGAAGCTAAGACTGTAGTCCACAGTTGCCTTTTGTACCTGTAGAGCTTTTCTCTGACCTCAAAGGCTAGAGGGGACAGTGACATTGGCCTAGTTGTTAACCTCTTTCAGAGCAAATAAGTGGGACTTTATATTCCCTCTGTGAGCAGGAAATAGGGGCCTTTTACTTTTCTAAAATGGCTTTCCTTTTCTCCACAGTATTTTCCTGAATCGGGATCCCTCCACCATGTTACCTCCTATGCCTGACCCTACGGACCAAATATCAGAGAAAATTCCATCAGAAGAGTATTTGCCCCAGGCTGCTTCTTACCCTCCAAGGACAGGACACTTCAGTAAGAATGCCCTCTATTCCTCAGGCAAAGGGTATCTCTGCACTGCCAAGGGGGCCTTGGCAAGGAAAGGAGCCTTAGCCTCAGGCACCTGCCTCACTGTGGGTTCTGAGTTTGCCAGCATCCAGGAAATGGAAAGAGTGGGTAAGCAGCCCTGTCGGATGGTGTCCCAGAGCTTAGCATCTCTGGATCATTCAGCTAACAAGCTAAAGCCAAGGGATGAGCCAGATGCATTCACCCCCTCCACCTGTACCAGGAGGGGTAGGGGACTATCAGACCCTGACCACACACGAGCAGAGTGGCGAAAAGAAGGGAACCTTGGGACCCACAGGCCTGCCAAGGGAGCCTTTTGCAGTTCCTCACATCCCTGTAGACCCAAACAGGCATCTGGGCATGGAAAGGAAGCCAAGACTTTCTGGAAGGAATCCAAACCATCTCCTCCAAACAGGGCATCAAAAAGGCAACAGAGGGTTCTGGTCAAAGACATTGCCAAAAAGTCCTCTTGTTTGCTTCATGGCAGCCCTTTGAGGGGACGACACAGTGTGGGAGACCCAGACTCCACATCCTCACTTATAGATTTCAGCCCAAGAGTGGACCATGTAAGAGATAAAGATGGTGACTTATCTGATGCAGATAGCAGTTACTCAGTGGATTCTCTCTCCTGTGTCTATGCCAAAGCCCTGATGGAACCACTGAAGCCAGAGGACCCCCAGGGGAAGGAACAGGATCTCCCAGAGCCAGAGAACTCTGAAAGTGACGACGGCCAAATATCTGAGGACTCGCTGGCTGAGAAGGGGTATGAAAGCCCACCAGACAGCCCAAGGAGTAGTTATCTTCCCAATGGCCATGGCCACCGCAGGGCCAGAGCTAGAGCCTCTGTGAGGGGCTTCACCACATCCTCAAACAGTGGACTATTCACCCAAACTCATAGGAGCTTTTCTCTGGATAGCCTGATTGATGCCAAGGAGGAACTGAGGGAAGATCAGCAAGAAGATCCTTTCTTCAGTTCAGCTGATGAGATGCCCACAGAGACTTTCTGGCACCTACAGACCTCCAGTCTGCCCACAGTGGACCAGGAGGCAATGTCCAGGCTTGGTCCCATCAACCACGGAACAGGAACCAAGCTGGATGCCATCCTGCCAATGAGCAGTTCATTTTACCTTGGTCCCCCACCCCAGCCCCACTGTGAGCAACCTGAGTCAGAGGTAGGAGCAAGCTCCTCTGAACAGGCAAACACACTCCAAGGCCTGCAATTTTCAAGAGGGAGCCCTCTGTTGTCCATGGATTCCTGGTTTTCCTGTGACTCTAAGATCAATTCCAGCAGCCCCTCAGGAATAATGGGTTCTTTATGTCCAAGTCCAGATGTCCAGGAATCTCAGCCCCGTGGTTGGGAGAGGCCTGGACACTGGCAAAATATGGAAGAACTAAAGCCATCAGGGGCAGAAATACTCCTGCCCTATAGCTCCAAACTTTCCGGAGATGGTGCTGAGCTGCCCTGCCGCATGAGCGGTGTGTACACAATCCCTGCTTCTGATACATCCAGGCTGTCACTCTGGGGGTCTTACAGGCTTCTTCAGCCACGACTTGCTGGCATCTTTCGGGCCAGAGGTATCCCTGACACAGCCCATGAGGCCAACTCTGAAGCATCCAACAACTCCACTGTGTCAAGTGTTTTGGCTGCCTCTGCTGCCTCATTCACTCATGTAGGCAGTGCCCATGAGAGGGACTGGGCTGCCCTTCAGCAGAAGTACCTCCTTGAACTGTCCCATCCTGTGTTGGAGGCTGTAAGAGAACCCAGGCCAGCTTTCTCCTCCCTCGAAGAAGACTCTGCCTCCTTGACCCAAGCTTCTGGCAAAGAAACAGATACTCTATTGCCAGTTGGTTCTGGGGTATCTAGCAGTCTGGATTTCAGCAACTTTCCTATCCATTTATCCAAAATTAGACCTTTGAGAGCAGAGAAAGAACAGGACAATTTGAGTGCTGAGTTAGAAGGTACTTCAGATTTCTTTACAACTAGAGAGAAAGAGCTGAGTCACAGTGGAACTTACTCAGCAGATGTAGAATCATTGACTTCTGGAACTATAAATGCACCAGTTTTTGCAGCAGAGAACAAGATAGCAAATTCCATGACTGAAACATGTGAAGTCAAGCAGAACAGCTTGGAAGGGTGTTCTCAGAGTAGTGGGAAACCTCGACTGATGACTTCCTCTGATGAATGTTTTTTGCAGAAGAACCCTTGTCACGGTCATGTCACCATAGCCTCTAAAAAAAACCACTGGCCCCAGGGCTGGGCTCCTCTCAGGACAAATAGTGCAAGCCAGGAGGGGCAGTTCAGTCCCAGTGGCTACCCACCCCTGCAGGAAGAGAAGGTAGACTATCAGGAGAGTTCCAGGGAAGTGGTTGGAAGGCACTCAAGTGTTTCATTTGCGTTTCCATCAGGTCCAAAGTGGTACCCCCACTCTGCCGCCTGGAATCCATTCCCGACTTCCTTGGAGCCACCTCCCTTGGAGACATTCTATGTGACCAAAAGCCGGGATGCCCTGACAGAAACTGCCTTAGAGATCCCGGCTTGCAGAGAATCAAGAGTGCCTTCCCCACCCCCCAGGGAAGCCTGGGGCTTTGGTCATGACCATCAGGTTCTCCAAAATATTTATTTGAAGAATAATTTGCCAGTGCTGTTACAAAACCAGAATTCTAAGATTGCCTCATCTCAGCAGGTCACAGCAACGAGGCCATTTGATCTGAACACCAAGGAAGTTAGCAGAGAAAGAGGAAAGTGCCCTGGAAATATTGAAGAAGAAAGCCATAATTCAGTTTATTTTTTTGTTGCTCAGAACAGACATTTTCTTTCATCTACTAGCACAAAAGTATGTGAATTTGAAAATCAAGTTGGAATTTTAAATAAACACAGTCTTTCAGCGCTTAAGGAGGGAGAAAAGGCCACTGTACAGTCCTATTGCAATGTTTGCTCAAGGCATTCTAGGTCTAGGAAGCCTCTCCTTATTTGTGAGTCTGAGGCAGATGAGGAAGAAGAGCAGGATCACAATGTAGTCCTAAGACAGACTCAGGCCTTTGATATAAACAGACAGTTTCCTTCTGGGGCCAGGTCTGATTTCATCTATGAAACCAATTTAGCCCTTGACAAGGACATGCTGGGGGAAACTGCTATTTCTTTGCAGTCCAGATCAGTACATTGTAGAGTAAGTGGCTCAAAGATGATGGCCCCAGATGAGAGTCCAGTCCACAAGGGTAAGAGGAAGAATGAATTTGATCTTGGGAAAGCTCTCCATTCCAAAGGCAGCTCAAAAGAGTTTAAGCTTCCACAGGCAGAGTCTGCATATGAAAGATTCCAGTCAGTTACATGCTCTCAGGAAAAAAACCTGAGTGAATGTAAGGGCCCTGGAAGGTCACAAGAAATGGTAACCCCCAAAGAAGAACCTTCTAGAAAGAAACAGAATAAAAGAGTCAACAGTGCTGAGGAAATGGCCAGGCTAATTAGGAGTGTAATACAGCTGGAAAATGGCATCTTGGAAATTGAATCCAAGCAGAATAAGCAGCTAAATGCTTCCCACACACTGGGAGTCAGTAAGGAGTTTATATTTCAGGACTTGAGGGACCAGGAGATGGCTGACCATGATCTAAGGCCAGGCAGCTTTGGAAACCACCTGTCTTTGAAGGATCAGCCATCTTCTCCAAAACAGACAGATGATGTTACCTTTAGGGATAGCGAAGCTGGAGAAATGGAGCTTAACAGTAGCATTGGGAAAAGTCCCCAGGTCCAGAAAATCACCTTGTACCCCTTCAAGTCAAGGGAATGTGTACAAGACATTAAGTTTGCAAAAGAACACACTCACCCAGCTGTATTAGAAAGACCCTCCTGGGACACGTGTGATGAAGTAGGGACATGTACAGCTTGTAGAGAGTTTGCAGACACTTGTGCTGATCCAAGAACCAAGGCATCGGCTAGTGCTCTGCCATTGCAGCGGAGCGCCAAGATGTCTTCTGAGAAGGAGGGCGAGGCGGGGAATGCATCCGCAAGCCCCAGAGGGCAGCCCTGTGGCTTGGGAAGTCTTGAGGAACTGGAAACTGTGAAAAGTTTTTGGGAAAGCCAAGTTGTCAAATGTGTAAGTAGTTCTAAGCAAGAGGAGTCCAAAGTTCAAGGCAGAGTTGAGGAAATGGCTGTGCGAAGAGGAGGGAGCCTACAGGAGGAAAACACAGTGGCCTCATCAACTCAGAAACTTCCTAGTCCAAGCCAGCATTGTATGGGCACATCTTCCAGCCAGGAGACTGACCCGTTGCTGAGCCAGCCAGACTCCTCTGCAGTTCTTCATGAAGACCTGAGTAATACCTTGTCCTTGAATTGTCCAAGGCTGCCAAGAGACTATCTTCATGCACGTGATACTGTAGGCATCTCTTCAGTTGACTTTGTGCTGGATCCCATAATGTTGAGAATGCCTAACAGTCCCTTGGTAACTGGAACAGGGAGTCAGAATCAGAGTGGAGAGCCCCGAAGCCACAGTCCTCAGGGAAATGTTAGAGGGGCCTCCTCCTTGGCACACTCTGCTTGGTGTGGGTCTGTGATATCCACGGCTATGGGATCTCATGGTCAATCCCATGTATCAGAGGGCATTCCCGTGGGGGCAGAGGGCCACAGATCAGCAAGTACCCAAGACCAAGGAGGGGATCTCAGAAGCATCTCAGTGGGCTTGAGTCCCAGAGAGGGTTTTGCTTCTGAAGCCGAGGCAGGTGTACAAAGAGGAACAGAAAGAACCAGTTCCCTGAACAGGGTCTCTAGCCCACTTGAAAAGAAGGCCTGCTGCCTCTTAGAAGAGGGTAATAATCAAGGCCGGCAGGCGAGGCAGAAGGCAGAGAAGGAGGCCAAGGACCTTGGTTCTCCTAGTGGTACTTTCTCAGCACCTGTGTCCCTGCCAAGGGTGCCTCACCCAGAGCGCTGGGCTCATATGTCCATGGGCCTGGCTGTGTTGGAGGAGATCAGACAAGCAAAGGCCCAGGGAAGGCAGCTTCATGACTTGGGGGCTGGAGGCAAAATTCTTCCTTACTATGAGACTTTATTAGGACCTGAATGTTCTTCAGGGGCCCTGGGTAGGTCTCAGTGTCCACGAGGGGACCAGTTAGTATCAGACAGGACGAGGAATGAGGCTGAAGCGCAAGGATTTCAGGTGGCATCTCTCTTTGCTGAATCAGGACATCTGTTGACTAATGAGAGGAAAGTTCCTCAGGCCACACCCCTCCCTGCAGACAGCTTTCAACATCCGCCCAACACAGAGGCTAAAACAGGGCCACAGCATCCCTCACAGGCTTCCTCCCATGTAGCCCCAACTCTAGGCAAAAGCCATTGTGCTGGAGAACTGAGACATTTTCTGGGAGCCGGTGAACAGTTTGTATGTCACTCTTGTTCTGAAATCAGAGAGAAAAAGAAAAAAGCAACCAGAACACCTTACTTTTCTGATCCTGTGGGCTCAGGCAGTTTTCCTTCAACAGCTGTAGGAGACAGGAGGGAAATACCAAAGAAAGTAGTGGCTCCCTTATCTTCTTGGGCCCCTAATGATGACCCTGGTGTGATTCCCTGTCGGGGAAGCCAGTTAGGTCTGTGGGACACTGCAGAGGCCATGTGCCCTGGTGGTCAGGAGCGCAGCCCAGCGCATCAAGAACCTAGAATTCTAGATACCGCTTGTAGAGGAGGTTCAGGTAGTTTCTTAGTGGCTACACAGGGAGGAAAAACAACCTATTTTGAAAGTCAGCTTTTGACCTGTGACGTTCAGAATTCTGTCAGCCTCTCAGAGAGTACCCAAGACTACTCCCAATGCCTTGAGGCTTCCACTGGTTTAGAAGAAAGGAGGGGAAGTCCCAAACAGGGTACCATCCTGCCTAGAGCCCTGAGGAGCGTTGAACCGGAAACTCCCTTGCAGCAGTGTGTGAAGTGGAAGGAGACTGTTGGCTGTGGGCTGGCAGAAGCCTGCAGTGCTGGCAGCAAACATCCTGGGCTGACTCCATTGCCAGATCAAAGACCTAGCCCAGGTCCTGGGGAAGTTCAGGAGGAGGCCCAGTGCAGATGCCCACAGCAGACTTCCTTTTGTGTTGTCTTCTTAGGGAACATTGAAAGCAGCAGGACTCTTAGTCCATCTGGGGGGCAGGAAGACAGCAGAACAACTCCTTGCCGACATCTGTGCAATCCTCAACCTGCTGCTTCTCTTGCCTGTTTCTCCCCACCCTCCACTTTACTGTGTTATAAGGATGGTGACCTGGGAAAAGGGAGTTCCAAGGCTGCCCCACACATTCTCCAGCCGCCCTGCATAGTGCCTTCCAGAGCCTTTGGAATGGATGAGAGAGGAGAGAGCTACTCTGGGGAACTTGAAGTGCTCTTGGCACCTGGCCTTGAGCCCAAGGGCATTCACAGAGAATTTGGGCCAACAGACAGCAGCACTCGGGAGCCTTCTACTTCTGCTGCTGTCCTATCTCTGGCTCAAGGGGGTACATCCCCTTCTGCCTCTCATGTGGGGACAAATTCACTGAGTCACTCAGTGGCTAATGGAAGCTCAAGGTCAGTAGAGGATCCTGAGAAAAAGATTGCTGAGAAGAAAGCCAGCACAGAGCTTGAGGCTGCCCTTTCCTCTGTAGGCTTGTGCTCTGAGCCACTGAGGATGTTTCAGGACAGCTCTGGAGGTGGCCAGAATGCACAAGAGTCTCAAACCAAGCCAGAACCACCTTCAACAACTGAGAGACCACACACCCTGGATTTAGGTGAAGGGTCTTTTGAGAGTGAGCTTCTGGGGGAACCACAGCATGGATACCTAGGAAATGCAATCCAATGCCTTCCAGAAAAGCGACAACTTTCCACTAAGTCCAGAGGTCACAGTGGCTTGGATCCCCAAGCCAAGTTTGTGGCAAAGTTAAAACACATCTCCAGGCACCAAGCTGACAGTCCCTGGGAGGAGGAAGAGCAGCAGAAAGACCAGGTTTCGGGTGGTGGTAAAGAACCTGCCCAGGGCAGGAATTCTCAACCTTCCCAGGAAGGTAGCTTGGACAGCTGTCAGATTAGAGATGCAGGCAGAGAGGAGGCACATGCAGCCGAGCCCTCTGTATCTAAGATGGTCTCATCAGGCTTCAAAGACTCAGCTACCATGCCTTTGGGGCAAAGTGGAGCCCCACAGCCCACACCCCTGAGCCCTGGCCTGCCCCCCTCTGGCAGGGAGCAGCTGGCTCCCCACAACGGGTGCTCACTTCCTGTGATTGCAGTCGTCTCTGGCCCCAAACACTCTAGGTCCTCCCTTAGCCCACAGTTCTCTGTGGTTAGCTCTTCCCGGTCTCTTCAGGAGCTGAACATGAGTGTGGAGCCTCCTTCCCCCACAGATGAAGATACACGGGAGCCTAACATAATGTGGTTTCCACATCCCAGGGACTATTTCTCAGGTAATTCAGCAGTGAAAACATCTCTGAAAGCTGAGGGCTGTGGTCGGAAAGCCTCATCTAACTTGGACAATAGCACTGCTGATCACTGGCCCCCGAAACCTGCCACTCCTCCTTACCCAAGGTCATCAGCTCTCTCTTGCATGCCAACCCCTGATTTCATGACCTGCTGGACATCTAGTACCCTGGAAGAGGCCTGGCAGGAAAGTCCAGAGAGACCAGTTGGCCAGGCCAGGCCAGAAAAGTGGCGTTCCAAAGCAGACAAAGGAATGTTACACTTTGACTCCAGTGACATCAATCCCTACATCCTATCCTCCAGTCCAGAGAGGCCTGTGCAGATCGGCTGGAAGCAGTATGTGTTTGGCAGTGCAGTGGATGTCTCCTCTGGCCAGACACCCCAGGGCCTGATACCATCAAATATGGCCCATTGTTCAAGCATGGACAATGGCCTAGAATGCCAGAACTCTCCACTCTATTCCCACCTCAGCACCTGTGCCAATGCCCGGGACCTGTCGAGCCCACACAGCATTGGAAATGCCCAGGGTTCACGTGAGGCCTCGGAAGTACGGGGTTCCTTGTGTGCCTTGGGGAACCTCCACATCCTGAACAGCCCTGAAGGAGCAACCCCCAGTAAGGGTCCTGACAAGAGAGCCCAGTTCCCGGGCACCCCTGATGAAGCAGACTGGCTGAGGAGTGAGCCCCTCTTGGCTGAAGGAAGTGCTGCAGATCCAGTGGATGAGATTATGCTGCTGTATCCATCAGAGGCGGGTGGTCCTGTGGAACAGTCCAGGATGGACACCTCGGAGCAGGGCACACAGACCCTGGGGTGTAGTCTCTGCTGGAGCTCTACCGACATCTCCTCTCCTCCGCCAGAAACCAGTGCAGTGCCAGTCTCTGGTCTGGTCTCCTGGACCAGCATGCATAATCTGTCTCTCCACCTCTCACAACTGCTGCACAGCACCTCAGAGCTGTTGGGGAGTCTCTCACAGCCAAGTGTGGCTGAAAAGGAACAGAACATCAAGAGGGAAACCCCAGATGAGGTGACCCAGGCCCTTATGATAGACGGCTGCACTCAGACCACCATGGACAAGTGTATCCAAACTGACCTGGCCTTGCCACCTCTGCCCTTTCAGGCCCCAGAGGCCAACCCTCAGGAGGTCAGTGTGGTCCTTGAAGTGCTGGGCTCAGATATTCCCACCATGTCTCAAGAGCAGAGGTATGTCACAGGGATGCTTCAGAAGATAGAGGCAGAGGAAACAGCATGGAAAATGGCAGAGCCTTCAGAACTTCAGGAAGAAAGCACCCACTGCAGGCCCCAGAGCCTTCCAGCACCCCCATCCCACTTGAGGTTTCAGAAAGCTCACTTTGGGCAGAACCTCCTTTCTGTGAGCCCTCAGGCTTCCCCTGATGCCTCCCTACCTCCCAGCTCCCAGCCAGAGGAACCCTCTGGCCTGGCTGTTGGTAGCCCGAGCCTCAGTGGCTCCCAATCCCCAGAGCCCTGCCCCAGTGCTGCAGAGTCCGTCAGGGATCCTAAGGTTGAGACGGAGCTGGGCACCATGGGTATGTTGTTAGTGGAGAGGGCCTCCTCCCCAATCCTCACGCTTAGTGCCAGCACCCAGGGATTGGGGTTCCCTGCAGACTCTTTGTCGCTCACAGCCCCCTCAGCTTGTCCTCTTGAAGGCCACCAGGAGCTTGTCTCCAGCCCAGACCTTCTCCTTGATACCTCCAGGCCTCCAGTGGATAATCATTCTCAAACCACTGAGGAGTCAGGTGGCTCCCAGAGAGTGGGGGCTCCGTGTGGGGAAGGCAAGCGTCCCTTAGAAAGGAGTGATGGCAGGTCATTCCTTGAGGTAAGCTCGCCAGGCAGCCCACCACAGAGCCCGAAACTCCAAGTCTGTCTGTTAGAGCAGCCGCCTCTGCAGCTTCAGCCCAGGACCACCACCTTGGTCCAAAGTGGACTGCCACCACCCTCACTGAGGAGCAGGGGCCAGAGGCTGGCTGATGGCTTTGTGCCGGAGGACCTGGCTTCCTTGGGGTCTGGCCCAGTGAGGAGTAGGGGGCCAAGTCAATGGCAGAGCAAGACAGAAAATGGGGGTGAGAGTTCAGCATCTCCGGTGGAGCCACAGCCCACTCTGGACTTCTCGCCTTCAAGGGGAGGCCTCCAGCCCCTCAGCCCCTGCCCTGTCTCTGAGTTGACTGGTAGAGCAGGGCTCCAGGGTTCCACTTTGGGCCCGACCAAGGCCTGCCAGTCTGAGGTGCTGCTGCGCTCCGGTTCCCAGGTGTGCATGGCCCCTGAGCCCCAGCATCACGGCCTGAGGGACTTCCCAATGCATAACAAATTTACTCATTGGCATGGGGTTCAGGATGGCTCTCCTGGGGGGCTAGGTGTGATGGAGTCACTGGGGACCAGATGTGATCTGAGCTCTGGAGATCAGGGACAGAAGCCCCTGCAACCTCCTGACGACCAGAGCCAGGATCCTCAGTGGTCCCAGAGGGAGCCGATCCCCCTGCAAGTTGGGGCCCAGAACCTCTCACTCAGCATGGAACTCACAGAAGCGAAACTGCACCACGGCTTTGGGGAGGCAGATGCCCTGCTGCAGGTGCTACAGAATGGGACAGGGGAGGCGCTCGCTGCTGAAGAGCCTGTGCGGTCTGCCTGGGAGGAGCTCTATGCCCGGTAAGGGCCCCCAGCCTGGTGGGGTAGGGCAAGAGGTAGGCTGAAAGAGAATCAGAGAAGGCTAATAGCTGGCTGTTCCTTTTTCTCCTGCTAAGCTCTGGGATCTTCTGGGGATCAGAGGTAGATCTTAAGGTGGGGAAGGGCATTCAGGGCCAGCTTAAGTGAATCAATCACATTTTGTCTCAGGCAAAAACAAACCATTGAGACCCTCCGGAGACAGCGGGCTGAACGACTTCAGAACTTCCACTGGACACGGAACCTCAGTCCCCAGAAGCAAGTGAGCCTCTTGCCCAACAGAGATCTCCCCACCCGGGACCCTGACCTACCCAGCAGGCGCCGAGAGTACCTGCAGCAACTGAGGAAGGATGTTGTGGAGACCACCAGGTAAGAAGGGTGGACCCAGAACCCCACAGAGAGCAGGTTGTATATAGGGTGAGAGGGCCGTGGGGAGCAGGGCCTGGAGAATGGAGGCTGCAGCTTCCTTTGACAGGAGTGATTCCAAGAGTAGGTCCCACACTCCTGTGGGTAAGTGGAGGTGACCATGGGAGAATGGGGCAAGGGAAAGAGGAGGATGTGGGAGGGAATAAGTTGGGGCAGAGGTAATGGGAGAGGGTGGGCAGAGTGGCTGTGACCTACCATGTAAGACAGTAGGCCTGAGTCTCAAAATGGGTTGTAAAACCAAACTGTAGGCAAAGGGAGGATGGTGTTGAATAGGTCTGGGACGAGCAGGCCAAGGCTGTCACCCACCTACCCACAATGTTAGAGGGCATCTCTCTACCCTGTGGTTTTCCTCAGGAGCCCAGGGTCGGCATCGCGGTCTGCTCACCCTGCCTCTGACATAGCACTGATGCTGCAAGAATACCAGCGTGCCCGAGAGGAGGCCAAGGTGGAGATTGCCCGGGCCCGGGCCCGGCTACGGGAGCAGACTGAGCAGGAGAAGCTGAGAATCCGCCAGCAGATCATCTCCCAGCTGCTCAGGGTGGGGAGTGGGGCAAGCCAGTGATGTCAGGGTAGGCCTGGAGCCTGCGGCAGATGTCAGACTGGGTCAGCCTTCGCTGGGGCTGCCTCTGAGTCAGGATGTGGCATTTGGAGGAAGGTGTTGGACTCTCAGTACCAGCTCAAAGCTGTGCTCACTCTTTTTACATATCATCCTGCTCCGACCACTCCTGTCCCCAGGCCAGAGTCTGGGAGGAGGCAGCTTTGGTTTTTAGCTGGGGTCGGCATGTGGGGAGGCGTGAGGGTTTCAGGTTGAGATGGCAGGTGCTGGGAGGTAATGGGCGCTGGGGAGGTGAGAAGGGGTGGTGTTAGGGGAGGAGTGGGTAGGGTACACTAGAAGCTGGTTGACAGCCCCCTGTCCTTCTCAGGAAGAAGAAAAACTGCACACCGTGGCCACGTCCAACTCCCTGTGTACCAGCTCCAATGGAAGCCTCTCCTCTGGTGTTACCTCCGGCTACAATAGCAGCACAGCCTTGCCAGACCAGCTCCAGTCCCCGGACAGTGTGGTGAGTAGGCAGATGCTAGCAATGAGCCAGGGGGCAGACCAGAGGCAAGAGTTGGGGCAGGAAGTTCTCCCTTCTGGAGGCCACTGCTGACATGAGCCCTTTTCGTGGATGATAGATAGCCTTTGGTTTTCCCTTTAGTTTTGTCTCCCACTCCCTGTTTATTCATCCAACAAGTGTTTATTTTGTAGTTAGTATTTTAGGCACTGGGGATATAGCAGTGAGCAAAACCATTCTTGTCCTTAAGCCTGTTAGAGGGCTAAGTACAGCTTATTTTGTGATTATTTAATCAGCATCATAGTAAGTTATATGAAGAAGGGGTTCTAAGCCAACATGGAACGGGATCTAATCTAGTCTGGTAGGTCAGCAAATATGGTCTAGAGAGGGTGCCTTTAAACTGCCGTCATGGGGGTGAGAGGCGGTGAGCGGAGAAGAGCTTAGTGCTGGGGTGTCAGGCGTCAGGAGAGATGGGGTGGGAGCACAGTCTCCCAGGCGGAGGGCTTGGCAAGTGAGGCTCTGAGGGAGGAAGAGTTGGAGGAACTGGAAGAAGGCTGGTGTGGCTGGACAGCAGTGAGACAGGAATGACTTGAGGAAGGACCAGGAAAGGGAAAATCACGTAGACTCTATTGAGAATTCTGGCCGTTTTTGGATCCGTGTGCTCATGTTGCTACCCAGAAGTTGCTGTAAAGCTTTGAAGCAGGGGAGCAGGACGATGAGATTACAGGAGAAGGGGGCAGAGCAGCTGTGGGTAGAGCCGTTGATGACCATGGCAAAGCCCAGTGAGAGGTGCCCCTCGCCTGGCCAGGAGCCCTGCCGGTGAAGACGAGCACAGAGGGTGCCATGGACAGAGAGCATCTCCAGGACGCAGGAGTCCATTGCCTGTGAGGAGGGGACAGGGTGGAGCCGGGGACAGCACACATTTCTGGCTTGAGCAGCTGAAGGGGCCGTGATGGCAACAGCGTGTGGAGCCCTGGAGGACAGGTTTTGTGGGGAAGATCGTGAGTCTGGTTTTGCGCTTCCTGGGTTCGTAGTGCCTGTGAGAAATCTGAGGGGAGCAGTTGGAAATACAGATCTGGAGCTTAGAGGTAAGATCTGGCTGGGGATAGAATATTTGAAATTTGTTTTCTATTAAACTTCACATAGTAAAAAAAATAGTATTCAGACAGTAGCAGAGGACATACGATGGCAAGTTCGTCTTTCAGTCTCCTGCTTGCCCTTCCCAGGAGCAACCACACAGCAGTATGGTGTATATTTCCAGAGGCATTCTGGAATACATTCTATGTTTTAATATCTATAAGAATGTACAAATCTTTTTCTTTAAATTTTCTTCTTATATATATTTTTTCTTTCTATTTAAAATTTTTTTATATTTTTGTTATATATATATATTTTAATTTTTTTTTTTGAGAAGGTGTGTATATCTCTAAAGCACATGAATGGCAGCATACTGTACCAGCTTTGTCCTTTTACATCCTAAAGAATGTCTTTTGGACAGCACTGCACACCAGCAAATCTGCTGCTGACTTATCCTTTCTAACAGCTGAAATAGTGTTTCCTTTTTCTCTTTGCATGTTTTTAAATGTAATGTTTTGCGTAGATAATCTATTCATATGGTATTTCTACCATTCATGCGGTAGAAAAGACAAAAAATGTAGACATCTATGAAGGTATATAGGGAAGTACCTGTTCCTCTTGCCTGAGAACCTGGTCGTCCTCCTTTCCCCACCCAAGGAGACAGTGCTGCCGTGCAGGGGGGCTTGACTTCAGTCTTTTGCTGTTATGTATGAACAGTGCTGCAATAAGTAACCTTGTGCATGTATCATTCCACACATGTGCAAATATATCTAGAAGTGGACTCATACAAAGAGTATATGTATTTGAGATCTTAATATTGACAAGTTTTACCTCACAGATATACCAATTTATACTCCCACCAGCAATAGGAGAGAGACACCTTCCCCCCACACTCTCACCAACATGTTATCAAATGTTTGAATTTTTGCTAAGCTATCTGTTCATATCTTTGGCTCATTTCTCTATTTTTTTCTTACTGATTTCTGGAGTTCTTTGGCAAGCTAGCCCTTTGCCTGATAGGAATTATATTTGTCCCAGTTCTTGGTTCTCTTTTGACTTTGCTTGTTGTGTTTGGAGCCATTCAGAAGTTTTTATTTATCAATTTTCCTTTTAAGTGTCTATGTTCTGATCATAATTAGAAATGCATTCTTCATTCCAAAGTTATGAAGAATTTCTCCTGTGATATCTTCCGGAAATTATATGGTTTTATTTTTCATGTTTAAATCTTTGATTCAAAAAAATAAAATAAGTCCTTGTTAACTTTGTGTGTGTGTGTGTGTGTGTGTGTGTGTGTGTGTGTGTGTGTGTGTATAGTATAAGGTGGGATCCAACTGTATTCTTTCTAGATGGCTATCAAGTTGTCCCTTTAACATTTGATAGTTCCTCTGGATAGCTCGTCTCTGCTTCACCAGCTTAAGATGCCAACTTTTCTTATATAAGGCTTATAATGTGTTTTACTACCTCTTCTTCTTTTTCTGAGCTTTTTTTTCCCTTAAGATTATTTGAGAGAGAGCAGAGCAAAAGAGAGAGAACATGAGTGAGGGGAGCAGCAGAGGGAGAGGGAGGAGCAGACTCCCTGCTGAGCAGGGAGCCCAATGTGGGGCTTGATCCGAGGACCCTGGGACCATGACCTGAGCTGAGGGCAGACGCTTAATGGACTGAGCCACCCAGGCGCCCTTTCTGAGCTTTTCTAGAGTATTTTTTCTTGTTTACTTTTTATATGGAAATTTAGAATTAGCTTAACTAGTTCATTTATAAAAACTTGTTCATGTTTTTAATGGGACCATGTTAAATTTTTAAACTGACTTAGGGAGAAATCTCATCTTATGCTGTGGAATTTCCTAACCAATAACATAGTAAGGTCCCCCCACAACCTTTTTGTGTTTCAAATTTCCTTGACATGTCTCTCAATTTCTTGTCAGATTTATTCCTGTTTTTTTTTTCTTACTGTTATAATTGTGTTTTATTTTTTTGGTTACTGTTGTTCTGCCTTTATATCTTCTGTCTGGTTGTTATTTGTATGTATGAAAGGCACTGATGTGTGTTAATTTTGTGTCCATATTGTTTTTTGGTCCTCTAGATCTGTACTAATACAGTAGACACTACCATAGGTAGCTATCTTATTTTAAATTTAAATTAATTAGGGGCGCCTGGGTGGCTCAGATGGTTAAGCGTCTGCCTTCGGCTCAGGTCATGATCCCAGGGTCGTGGGATCGAGCCCCACATCGGGCTCCTGGCTCAGCAAGGAGCCTGCTTCTCCTTCTCCCTCTGCCTCTCTCCCTGCTCAGGCTCTCTCCTCTCTCTCTCTCTCTGTATCTCTGTGTCTCAGATGAATAAATAAAATCTTTAAAAAATAAAATAAAATTTAAATTAATTAGAATTGAATCATAGCTTTTGCTCTTAAGTCACACTAGCCACATTTCACATGCTCAATAACCACATGTGGCTAGTGGCTACCATACTGTATAGCCCTGCCTTAGATTTTTTTCAGGTATATAACCACCTAATCTGCAAGTAGAGATGGTTTCACCGTTTCCTTTCTAATTTTTTTTTTTTTTAAAGAGAGAATGAGAGATAGAGAGCACAAGAGGGAAGAAGGTCAGAGGGAGAAGCAGACTCCCTGCTGAGCAGGGAGCCCGATGTGGGACTCGATCCCAGGACTCCAGGATCATGACCTGAGCTGAAGGCAGTCGCTTAACCAACTGAGCCACCCAGGCGCCCTAATTTTTTTTTTCTTCTTTATTTTCTTCTTCTTTTCTAATTGTATTACCTAGTATTTCCAGCATAAATAAAATCATAGTGATGACAGTGAGCATCCTTGTCTTCTTCCAGGCTTTAGTGGGAATGCTTCTAGTGTTTCTCCATGTAAGCTGGATGCTAGTTTTTGAGCTGAGCTAGATACATTTTTCAATACTAAGTAAGTATCTATTCCTATTTTATAGAGCATTCTTACATAGAATGGTTATTTCAGTCTTTGGAGATGATCATCTGATTGATGGGATAATATTGAACCATTCTTGCATTCTGGAATCAATCCTATAATACATTGTATACTTATGCATATGCTGTATTATTTTAATGTGCTGTCAGAGTCTATTTGCTATTTGTTCAGGATTTTGCATCAATATTTATGAGTTTTTTCCCTTTAGTTTATGTTTTTGCAATATGTTCCAGGTATGGTTATCAGTGTTATATTTCTTTTATAGGAATAAAATGTTCAGGAATAAAAAGTAATGGAATTTTATACCTATTAATTGTCAAAAATTAGAAAGTCAGATGTTGGCAGGACTTTTGGGGAAATAGGAGCCTTTATAGGTTCTTATGATCCAGCAGTGCTTGCATAGTTTATTAAAGACATGTATTTATTAAAGCATTATTTGAAGTGATGAAGAGTTGGAAACCATTTGAGAATCCATCACTGGGAGAGTGGATAGATAAAACGTGGTTGATACAGGGTGCCTGGGTGGCTCAGTTGGTTAAGCATCCGATTCTTGATTTCAGCTCCATTCATGATCTCAGGGTTGTGAGATCCGCTCTGCCCTGGGCTTGGAGCCTCCTTGAGATTCCCTCTCTCCCTCTGCACACGCCGTCCCCACCCCAGTACATGCACGCTCTCTCTCTGAAAAAAAGAAAAAGAAAGTGGTCTGGTGTGATCAGGAGTTGATAAACAAGGCTCTTTGGCCAGATCTGGCCCTCTGCCTATTTTGGTAAATGAAGTTTTACTGGAAAATTGCCTTGCCCATTTATTTATGTGTTGTCTGGGATGGTGTTTATGTTACAATGGCAGAACTGAGTAGATGAAACTACTCAAATGGTCCACAAAGCCTCAAATACCGTCTAGACCTTTACAGAAAAAGTTTGCCAATCCCTGGTTTAGATTTTTCCATTTCTTCTGGAGTCAGTTTTGATCCTAATTTGTTAATTTCTGC